CAAGTCATTTGTCTTGTCTAGAGAGAACTTGCAAAGAGGAAGACATAGGTGTAGTAGGTACCTAACCTAGGTCATGAAACCTGTTAGTGAAAAGGCTGACAGCACTATGTAATGAGATTTTGTTCCCTCATTTTCTTTTTATTCTTAAAGGCTAAGGAAAGCATCTGAATTGCAAAGACAGGGACAAAAGTGAAGGAGTGATAAACCAAAAAAGATGAAAATCTAAAGACCTGAGAAATACCAGTGTAGAAACCACAATGTGCTGCTCCTGCTGAGCTGCCATCCCACTGACAAGGGAGTGCAGAACGAGCCAAGCAGCTGTTCTTCAACAGGAGGAACAAAAGCTGGAATGACAGAGTCTCCTCCTGTGAGAAGTCTGGTTAACAGCCAACTGAAAGCATGTTTCAAGGTGGTATTTGCAGCTCAGAAACATAAATCCAAGTCCTCAGTCCTAGAGATCCCTTCCCCTGTGTTTTTGTTCTAGGACAAAATTTCTTAGGTTTTCTTACAGTTGTGAGAATCTGAGCTATATGATACTCCAATTAACTTCAGACTCTCATAAGACTTGCTCAATTAAGTTCTATTTTCCCTCTGTGACTCCTTACTGCAAGTCTGGATAGGAAGTACATTTAAAGTTACTGCAAAACTTGTGAACTTGTGTGTTTTTCCAGGAGTTTTTACTACTAGCAATATGTAAGAAACAAACTGATGATCTTTAACAGATTCTCTCATGTACATTTGTATGCTTTGCTTGAAGTGAACTGCACGTCGGAGACTGAATTTCAGTCAGATAACTTGAATCTAGAGGCAGCGAAGAACTGTGGGACACAAGCATGGTATTTTCTTATTCCTACCACAAAAAATAACTGAAGTTCAGTCCTTGCTTCTTAAGCACCATCAGCTGCTCATGTTGGACAGGATGTATGAAAGGATATACGCAAACTGAAGCCAACATGATTTGAACAGAGGGCAAGTAAGGTTGTTCAAAACATGAATGCAGGTTGTCATTCTCTGCATGTGATCTCATCACAAATTCAAGGTGGCTCTAAGCATGGTCTCACTTGCACTCAGGTTTGTTTGGGTTAGTTCCCTTTGTTTGTTATTCCTTAAGCTTACAAACCCCAAAGCAAATATACTGCCCACTTCAGATTATATGGTCAAGTGCTACTTCACTGGAAAGGTGTTAACAAATCACTCAATTCAGAGATGGAGGGAGGTGGTGAGATAGTTAAATGAAAGCAATGATCCTGCTTGACCCCATGTCCTCTCTTCTGCTGGTGTCTTGAAACAGGTAAACCTTTTGTACATGAGTTCAAACAGATTTAGTATGTTTCAAGGTACAAGAAGCTTATGTATCTTGTCAGAGTCAGAAGTAAATGCTCACTTTGCTTTTGTCAGCTAATCTTAAAGCAGATATTTTGTTTGAATTCAAGCGCAAGGATGCATGAAGCTGGTCAGCAACAATGCATGTGCATTATGAAAAACTCTTCAGAACTTCTCCAAACTATCTAGGAACAATTATTATTTCTCAGCCTGTTGGTTCACTTTGAAGATGTTTCTTCCTAGCAGAAACCAAGCCTCCATTTTGCATTGTTTATTTGACTATCTGCATGAAATATTAAACTGGATTTTAGCAGTAAGAGCCAGCTAATCCAAAAGCTCAATGTAATACACCAACAAGAAACTAATTTAAAGAAAAAAATGAGGTAGTTAACAGGTAGGTATGTAAATACATAGTACAAAACATTTCACTAAAATGTGTTGTAGTTTAAACACTTGCATTGTTGCACCAAGAAAGAAATATTTGTAAATGTTCAGGAATTAGAATTATCTTGTCCATTATCTTGTCTTGGTTGAGAAAAATGAAAGCTATCAGTTACTGGAGTTAAGTCTACAAATATAATTTCAGAGTGTGATCTCCAAGAACTTAGAGCAAAAGGACTAGAACAAAAGCCGTCGTAGTGTAAGAATGTATTCTTCTCAAGCTTTTTGTGTACTGCTACTGCAAAGTAACAGTTACTGTAGAGTAAGGACTTTCTGAAGTACAATGACTACAGAAACCTCTAAAGTAATTTTCATAGAAGAAATGCTCTGATCTAGTTTGATTCCCTTGAAGCTGTGGCAGGACAGTGAAGTCCAGCCTTTTCTATAACGAGGAACTCATTTTCTCAATTGTTCTGCAAGACCCTCAAAATAATAGTGCTCTTCAGTTGTCAGTGCAGGAAAATGGATCCTTTCTGTACACTGGTTTGGTTCTAATATTACAGTTGCCCTCACAATAAGATATTTCTCACTACATGAAGCAAAGCAATTAACCTTCCTTGGGTTTTTGTCATCCCATGGCATACAAGAGATTTCTCCATTCTGTACTGTTTTAACATTTCAATTTTGTATAATGCGTAACTTGCTCATGTAGAACTCACAAGTAATTATTGTCTGCCAACTAGTCAAGGGTCTTGCAGAAGAGATGATTTTGTAAGAGAACAATGTAATTTTGCACCTTGGAAGTGGCACGTCAAGAAGGTATTTTAAGTAGCACAAGCAGCACAGTCATGTTGTAACATAATGTAAAGTTACCACATCAATCTCCTGCATGGTACTATGAAAACAATTTGAAAAGAAAGCTTAGTTATTAATCTACAGATGGTATTTTGGAGGCTCCTAACTAAACACAGCCAGCAGCTGGAAACCAAGTATAAATACACAATGGCACCAGTCCAGGGACCTTACCTAGTCTACATAGGCTTTTATTGTTCTGCATTTGAAAACTGCGAATCAATCACTCTCAAAGTGTCTCAAATGACAAAAATATAACTAAACCCATTATGTGAGTCTTTCCTGTTTACACAGAAACAAAGCTGCAAGTTTAAGAATCACAAAGCTAACTTTGCTTGTGTTGTACTTAACTCCGCTAAAAAGAGCACTAGAAAATGAGCAGACCGGTTGTTGCTACATTAGCAACTAATATTAGCTCCACTACATGAGGAATTACTGGGAGTTATCCAGCAATAGTCTGAGCTGTGCCAATGGAAAGTCAAGAGTTCAAGTATGTACATATCTTTCATAGCTGTCACTCTTCTGCACAGCAAATTGTTTATCTCTGGGCCAAAGCTGTAACTACTTCAAAATAGGATTGTGGAACTGTTTTACATAGCAAGTTTTGAGAAATGGTTTTCTGTGAAGCTGCACAACTTCGTGTGTGGTGTTCATGTGTTCTTATAAACAGTGCTGAGAACAAACATGCTGTGAATAGGTGCTTCATCTAGACCGTAGTTACATTATGGTTTGTCCATTTCAGTAACATGCCACAGAACAAGGGAAAGGCAGCATGTAACTTCTATGGTGCTTTAATCTATACAGATAAATATGCCATGCATTTCACATTCATTTGGCAGAACAGGCTGTTTACAGGCTCTCAGACTGTGCTATGCTTTCATTTTACAAAATGGTTTCACTTGAAGCTTCAGGTTTTGGGGTGTTTAGAACTTGGGGCCTAATCTGCTGTTGTAAGGTCATGTAACTCCCTTGAAATACTTAGCATGGAGAGGAGGAGTTCTTAATGTGACTGATTTATATCTTCCTCATGATAAAATTAGGTCTCACAGCTGCACATGGTACTGATTTGTTTTAGCAAAGACAGCAGTTTGCTACAGCTGTTTGTTGTACAACAGGCACAAGACAGCTTGCAGCCCAGCTCCATCAAAACCAGTGTAACTGCACAGTGTAATGTAATAGCAAATTGTGCTGCAGGAGTTTGTTAGCACTAAGGTTCAGGTCAATGTTTTTTGTGGTTGTGTTAAAGGCAACTTCAGTATCAGGAAAACTTAAGGGAATGAAAAACTCCTCCCCCTCCATGCTGATTTCCTGCATTGCTCTAAAACAGTGCACACTCCCCAGAGATGAGCTTTGGCTGCTGCGTGGAGACTACAGTGCAGCTCCTCCACAGTGCTTCACCCTGCTTTCTTCCACTGGGGTTATTCACTGAAGCTTTTCCTTCTGCTGCTTCCCAACTTTTCTCCTCCCAGTTGCCATTTAATGCACAAAACAGATGTGCATTTGGGGTTTTGCTATCAGTCTTGCAGCAACTGAGGTTGTTGATTATTGCTTAATTCAGAAAATGAATTACTCAATCTAAGCAATATGCTTAGTTCTTAAACGGCTAAGAACTCTCACAAAAATTGACAATGTAAAGCTGTAGCAAAACTTAAAAATATTAAAAACTCATCCCAAATAATTACTTGATAAAACCTACTTGCAAAATTGAGAAAGTAAACAGCCTTCTCCCTCCCACAGGGCCAAGATCTGACATGCAGTTTTTTCACTTGTGATTAGCTTAGAGATTTTTTTTTTATTTCATGCTGCTATCTCATAAATCCCAACAATGAAGCTGAAGTGGTTCTAAAAGCCTTGGGCATGTCTGAATTTGAGAGGAGGGGGGAAGAATTAGTTCTCCAAGGGACAGAAGTAATCTGCAGCCATGGCCTGTGACACTTAGAATAAGGCTGGAACTGTGGTTTAGCCACGGTGCTGTTAGGAGATTGCTGCCGTTGTTAAATTAGTGCCTCGTTTTATCATTACATGTTGAGCAGTGGTACACATCTTGACACATAATTTTAATAATAGCTTGTAAGTGTCAGTGATAATGTAATCTGTTTAACAATGAGCCTAAAGATGATCCAGAAGAGAGCGTATTATGCCCTGATAAAGCAGCTAATCTGCATAAAACTTATGACAAGCCAGACCTTTTCAGTGTTGAATAAACTGGCTGAATATTCATTTTTAAGGCACTGTCCAAATTGCTTTGGTCACAGATGACTATTTAAAGCCCATTCTAAAGCTGGCAAATACACCAGGGAAATAACACAAGAATGAAAAAAAAACACACAAAAACAGTCCCCCATAAAAAGACTGCCTCTAGCTAAAAGCCCACATGATTAACATCAGCAATAATGGGTCCAATGCTAGCAAAACATAGAATAACATTTATTTCAAGTACTTACTGGCCACTTCTGTATAGGATTGGTGCAGGGCACAGCAAAAACTCTGATTCCACCTTTTTGGGTTTTTCATCTACAAAACAAATCACATGAGATGAATATACTGTGCTGTTTAATTGAGACAGTGATATGTAATGGTGCTATGAAGTCCACACTAGTACCCAGCATACTGCAAAATGGGATGGGTTGTCAGAAACTTGCAAGCAAGGCAAGCCCAAGTTAGGAAGAAAGTTGCTTTTTAAAAACTTATACCTTGTGAAGGGCATATTACAAACCCAGAGTTAACTTTAAATCTGAGCCCATGTCATATTGCTTGCTTAATGTATGTCAGATCATGTCCTTGCAGAGAAATGTTTGCTTAGAATCAAGGCTTTTTTTTTTTTTTTTTGAGGAGGAGAACATCATTTAGGCTTTCCTTATATTTGAAAGGTGTGTATTGGTTTCTAAGTGAGCTCATTACAGGATTTGAATTAATGACTGTTCTATCAGTTGAGACTGGAGTGTTTTCTCAAGTGTTTCTCATGCTTTTTGGTGTCTCAGTGCTTGCAAAGGTCATAGACATTTATTTGTAGAGCAGCGTGTCCAGCAGAACACTCCTTTTCTGTGAAAAGCAGAGGAGAGAAATAAAGTTCCACCCTGCAATTGGGTAGCAGAAGACAGCAGTAAGCTTGGAGGGCATCCAGGAAGTGACCAAGGGGTCAAACAAGAAAAACCTTGTACACGGAGGATACTGTATTTGCGGAAGGGAGCTCTTTTATCTCATGTCCTTGGTAAACTGGGGAAAAGTCTGTTCATGTCCACATGTTGTCCTCCCAACTTCCCCATAGAAGTGTTAATTTCTGTACTGGAGCTGCTCCTGCAAGCACAGACTAGTTCCTGATTTGGCAGGGAGGGGAGATGAATGATCTGTGAGATAAACTTGGAGATGACTCGGTCCTGCACTCAGGGAGAAGGCAGACATACAAGTAGTTCAGGGGCAGCTGAAGGAGGAGCTGTTAGCATAAATGAGCTTTTCTCATGTGCTATAATCTGCACTGACTGCTTGGCCTAGATTTGAGGCTAGTTGTGAGGTGGGGAAGAGGGATTAGCACATTGCCATATGTTTTTGTCTTAATGGTATGTTTCATAGATTATTTTTCTATTCCACAGCTACATTTGGCAGGTTTCCTTTCCAGCATTTGGTAATGGTTCTTTATAAATGCAGAAAGAGAAACATGCCAAATGTATCTTTCAAAACCTGAAGAACTGACAAAAAGGTTGGCTCTGAGGCTGGTCTCAAAGAGGAGCCCGGGCTATCAGTAAGGGGAACTGTCACAGTGTCCTCTGTTACAGGCTCACGGTGAGCACACCGGTTTTTCTGTACAGGAGAACACAACATTGGAACAATTTTCCCTTTTCTTGGGAGCACCTCCTTCCTCTCACTAGAGTTCAAAGCCCTTCCAACCCTTCTCATTTAGCCTCTCTCGAGAGGAAACTGCTTGCAGCCCAGCACAGAGCTGCAGAGACAGCTTGCATATCAGAGGAAGGATGGCATCAAACTTCCCTATTACCTCCCTGTACCATTCAGTAAACATTTGCTGTTGTCCATTGCTGAAGACAAGAAGCTTGGTGGGTTGCAGCAGGCCTTTGGCAAGACCCCATGCAGCAGATTGTGTTTTTATGCTGCAACATATAATAATACATCACTATGCCATTCCCTTCCCTTTGTGTGCTTTAGCGCACCCTTTACTGAAGCCAAGAAAAGGAAAAGCAGCCCAGAGATCTACTTGGAAATTCTCACATCAGATGCTAGCAAGTATTTGGGGGCTTCATCCTGTCCAAGTGTAGCTATTTCTACCATCTCAAAGCAGACACATGCTCTGTACAGCTTTAAATCACTACATGATCAGGGAATCAGAGACACCAAAGTCAGAAAACACTCTTAAAGGTCATTTAAAGAAGGCAATGCGGTTCATGCATTTTTCAGTGACATTTATCTAAGCATTTAAAAGGCTTTCTAGGTAACCTACTCCAGACCTGAGAAATGTTTACAGAGAGAATTGTCCTAATAACTAAGCTAGAGCTGCTGCAGAATTTTAAGCCTGTTGCCTCTTGGTCTCTTCTCAGTGGACTTGGAAAGCCAAGATTACTATTTACTATTACAAAAAATCATCAACTTTGACCATGCATCCTTGCTGGTAAATGTAAAAAATGCACTTTTTCAGTCTTTCCTTACAGTGTGTGTGTCCTCTTGACTTCTGCCCATCCGTGCCAGCTTCTGCTGAATGTTCCATGGTGCATTCACAGCCCACTCTGAACATGCAGCAGATCAAAATCCGGGTAGCTAGAGGCTGGTTTTGGCACCACAGGCCCTGGTTTGAGTAGCACTATAACCTAGCAATCATTAAGTACTGTAAGCCTGTTTGCTGTATGCTGGTAGCAATGCAACTAATTAATTCCAAAACTGTTGTTACAATAGCAGCAACCACTAGTAGGACAGGGGAGGCTTGCATTTGTGGTACTTGTGAAAAATAACTACATCCTTCTCTCTTGCATCCTGTAGGTCCCTACCTTCAGCCATACCTTATGGGACTCCTGAAGATCTTGAACACAAAAATACCACTATGAACTTAACCATATGGATGTGAGCCTCAAAACAGTCATGTGAAGAAGGTATGTTCTATTATTTTCATTGCCCAGATGGATGGACTGGGGTTGTAAAGAGGGGAACTGCTTATAGTAAACAAGTCAGAAGCAAACCAGGAATAGAACTCGGCAACTTCTGATTTGCAAAACAGACACCTAAATGTAAATTTAAGTGGTCACTATCTTAGTCATGTTACTGATATCTCCCCTATTGACCCTAACTAGTGTGAAATTAACTTTCTTCACCTAGAACTATGCCTGTTTACTCACTTCTCCAAGTAAGAAAGGTACACCAGGATAATAAATACAACTGTACTAATTCAGTTGTGTTTCAAATTCTAGTTCTATAAAGCCAATCCATAAAGCAAGTGTAAATAAACAAGCTATAGCTTAATACAGGGAACAAAGGTGACAATTTCAATTGAAACAGAAGGGGAATTGAAACAAAAGTATTTACTCTAGTTGCCTTTATCCAGAATCATGCTATTCTTTTTCAAACTGCTTTATAAAATCTTTAACAGGCGAGAGAAATTGGAAGGAAGTATACTGGAAACACAGGTTGAATAGGATAGGAATTCAAGAGAAGCTAATACAAAAATCAGACATTATGTAGGGGAAAAAAGTTTTTTCTACAGGTCCATTTTCTGTAACTTTTCCAGTCTGGCTTGCTTCTAAGACACACTGCTCAGAGCAAGAATTGGATGTAATTCTACTAGCTGTCCCATTTCTGGATATCAAAAATGGCACAGGTTTCTCTTAATAGTATTTTTTTCCACCATCATCTCCCTTTTGCTAGTTCAGGGAACAGAGCAGCAGACTAGGACTAATCCAGATCCTGGCCTGACGCTTCCTCTGCCCTGTTGTAAGTTAATGCACTGAGCAACAGAGAACCAATTCCTGAAAATTTTGCCTAAGATGATATTTTCCACTGAGATTCTCAATAAGATAAGCAAATAGTTCATGTTATGTTTTTGGAGTTCCTCTAACTTCTGAAGCCCTCTGCTCAGAAGAATTTCCCAAAAGACAATATTTTGACAGAGGAGGAACTAAGGATTACAACATCCGACCAAGGGTGAATGCTAATTAAAACAAACAACACTTTCCCAGAGAAGTGATTCCTAATCATCACAAAGCTACAGGCAAACTGCCTGTAGAAGACACCACGTTCACTTTGAAGAGGAATTCCTTTCTGCATGTCAGGAAGTTGCTATCCAGATAGGGATCTGGCTGCACTGATCATCATTGCTGGAGAAGAATGCTGCTAAAGAAAGCTAAACAAATGAACTATGTCAAAATACATGGATGGAGTTATTTCATGTGGTCAAACACTGGTCACAGTTTACAGCTAATGGTCATCAGTAGCAAGTTCAAACCACAGTGTGAGATGTGAATCAACTTGCCTTCTCTTACTAATCCTCAGAGCTTGCCCATTTTTCTTTGATCCATACCTTTCTCTTAAGACTTGAATTAACTGAGGCAATGATGGGGAGAGGGAAATCCATTATGAAGAAATATGAAGGCAGATGATCCCAAACTCTACTTACGGATGGTAGTTCCATTCACGTGGTAGGTGCAAGTAATGCCATCGGTTCTTCCACCAAGGGTTAAGCCACTTCCTCTAAGAACAACTTGGAACTCCTCTGGAGAGGAAAAAATAAATAATCAACTGTCTTCAGTATGCTGCAATAAGGACTAAATTTAGAAGGGGAGAATTTCAATACAGCTAGCAATAAATGAAGCTCAGCACAGCAATGGTTCAAACCTAGAATACATTCTTTGACTCCTAGTACTTCGCTTTTCTGTTAAGTCATTACAGGGAAAAATAAAAACAACTGTTCCTGAATCAGTATCAACTGAATTTGAATCTGAATAGCAATAGAACCTGTGTAAATGAATTTCCTGCATCTCGGTTGCATATGATGAAAGCTTTCCATTGAGTATTTAGATAAATAAGGAGTCTGGGCATCTCCTAGGAAGACTCTCCAGATTCTGAGCAGGTCCACTTAAAACATTCTCTTCTGTCTCTCTTTCTTGGAACTAGTTCTCCAGAAGTTGTGTAAGGGCCATACTATTTGTGTGTTTTGCAGAGGAGGAGGGAGGAGTTTGTTTATTAAGGCCAGTGTTTTCACTGAGATTGATGTTTTTAAAAGACATCAAAATACAGAGATGTTGCAACCACCTTATTTTGCTTGGTTTCAAAGTATGTGTGAAATGTGAAACTAGAAAGAAGACAAGCCCTTACAATTTAGTGTAAGTCTTCTACGTCAATGTTACCTCATGCTGTATCAGAACAGTCAAATGCTTTACTGATCATACTCTACAGATTCAGGGCACTAGAAATATTCTCATGTTTATTTGAACTTAAATTATCAGGATTCCCAGAACTTGTCTCGGTGACCATAGGTAAGAATTTGAGTGTCACAAAATGTATCATTGCTTTGAATACGAGGGTAAGTGCAGAGCATGACTAATGGCACAGCAGGAGATTAAGTCTCTCAAAGTTTATGTACAAACTAAATTATAAGAGCAGGCCTTGGAAGACAGCTCCTGAAGAGAAAAATGATCCAGAAGAGAAGGATCTGATTTACTTTGAATTCCCTGAGGATTTTTTTAGAGTTGCTTGTTTTCTAGATGACCTGTGGGATTTTCCTTGGAATAAAATACAGGTATGAGTCCTATAGTAATTTTACAATGATAAAAACTTACCTCCCACACAGACACTGGATGGTTCCAAATATAAAATCTCAGTGCATGATTGCTTCAGTATCTGTTGCAAATAAGGAAAACAGAAATGGGTTTCAGAATGCTATTTCAGTGAGGAATATTTTAAAACAAATGCATATACCTAGAAGATGTACATGCACAGCTACAGATTGTATTTGCACGTGCCTGACTTTGTAGGACGTTATTGTGAACCATGTAAAACTTCTGCACATTGGCACAGTCAAATCTACGAAGAGTTCATAAGACTTGGATTAGTGTGTTGAACCTGGGATATTCTTCAAAACAATTTCTGGCCTTGAAATTTCTGTCCAGTTCCCTGACTTAATTTTCCATGGAACTCCATCTGGAGGTTTAAGCCAAAAGTTAGTCACAAGGAGCCTGATCCAAAATCCAGCCCAGGCAAAAGTCTTCCAGTAACCTGTGGGTCAAGCCAAGTGCACGTTATTCCATGTGCTGGCATCTTGCCCTATGTAAAGCAGAGCAAGAACGCATGGCTTTCTTGAACTGTATTCTGTGGTGTGAGGATTTTTATTTTACTGCTGTATCATCCAGCCTGCTTTACTTCTCCAACCAGTCATGGAACATTCTTCCAGAGGGTTGGGACAAAAATGATATTGCTACAGATAACTTGAGAGATAAAGAGAATGGAATGTAAGGAAAAGGAAGAACTAGACAAATTAGAATGACTTGTACTAAAAAAGGTGGTTGTGGACACTTGGCTTAGTTTCAGCCAAGTCTGCCCCCCTGTAAGCAAGTAATAGGAGATTTCTGTTAACTTGGGGAAGAAGTCACTTGAAACTTGTAGGATTTAAAAAAGAAAATGAATAGCTTTGTCTTTTTCTACCCTCACATAATAATGTGATTTTACCCAATGGTTATGAATTCTTTAATTTTCCTGTTGTATTTAAATAGCTTGTTTGTAGTATGTTATTTTTAGCAGGCATTCGTGTGTAATATTATATGAAATCAAATCATGTGCATAGTATACTGTCCTGTTACCATCCCTTCTGTACTTCCATTTGCCAAAACTGCCTGTTCTGGAGCTGGCCTGTCAGTAAATGTACCTGTCTTACACCCAGCTCCTTTTTGTCCCTTTAAATGCTACCTTTTTCACTCTCCCCTTGGCTGGTGATTTTTGTTGCTACATACTGAGACCCAGTAGAAACAATAACGTATTTGTCACTGCACATAATCAAAAAGCATGCAGGGTTCCAAGGAAAAAAAAACTGCCTGTCTCATTTAACACTTTCCATATCACCTGTCTCCCCTCAAACTGTTGCACACAAATTATTTTTGTAGTGCTTTCAATGCCCACTTATAAACACAAAGCTGTATCTAAAAATTTTAAAAAGAGACCTTGCAGGCACATACATTTGGATGAGACACAGCAACAGAGATCTTTGGAAAGAATGTAGCTTGAAGTTCAGTGTAAGTCAAGCAGTTTATATTAGCTGAAGATCTCATTCTCTTGCTTCCAAAAAAGGACTTAGCTTTTTGATTGCTATTTCAGTGGAGGGAGAACTGTTCCTTAGTTTATTTTTGGAGAAAAATAATGAAGCATCTTGTGCAAAATAAAGAAGGAATAAAGTATTTTATTCCTTTATTGTAAAAACATGTTCTCTTATTTCTCTGAAGACTGAGTCCCATGAATAGTCCCATTTAAATCAATGAGACTATGGACTTGTTTCAGTATAAATGATTTAACCCTTGATCTAGCTTGGCAAGATGAAGGTCCATAGAATTCACTGGGATTCTTTTACATCAGAGTAGCCCCAGATCCCCAGGAAGAAACTTAAGAGTTCCTACATTGTCCCCCTTTGCTCACTGGTGAATAAGGGCTGCATTATGAATTGCAGAGGACCTGGGACAAGGACAGATGCTCGAGTCATCTGTCTTTCTGTGGAAAGTAGTATTGTAGTCCCACCATATTTGATAGCAATTTTCTAATGCCATTTCCAGATGCAACACAAAGCAGGGAAATAATCTATTTGGACATGCTTAACTCCCTTTGTATTTAGAATAAACGGGACTGGGGGGGGGGAGGGGAACTGTAACTGATATACAGTATGGCTTTGAGTTAATTATCAAATTTCATGAACAAAAGGGAAATGTAACGGTTCAGGATACACTCTTCCCACATGGTACCATGCAATTAATATTTCTACATGTAGATGTGCCATTTGTGACAAAACAGGAAATCAGTTGTTCAGTACCGTTCTTAGAAATAAACAGGCACTGCTTTTCATCATTTAAACTGTTGTCATTCTCCACATAGCTTGAGACAGCTGTGCTCCCCCAGACACCCTCAATTTCTTGGCAAGGGTATTGACCTAATGCAGTCATTTGCATGCTAACCAAGCTTACGCTAGCAAAGCTCTGAAGATACTGAAGTTTGTTTTTCTGAGGTACTCCAAATAGTTCACTACCCTTTGATGCAGTACTTCTCCTGATAGTCCATGCTTATTAAAAATATATATTGCTAGAGAAATCTGCTTTATCATCTCTGAGAATCTCTCCCAACAATCAAGCAACCTTAAGAAGCAAATATCAAATGTACAGAGTGAATCAGGTGGCACCAACCTACAAGTATACAAATAGCTCTTCACTCAGCCTTTACTTTCTGGGTTCTTCCAAATGCTCCGTCAAAGCAAAACTTTACGGAGAACTTAACTTTCAAAGGCAAATCAGAAATAACATTCATGCAAAAGGTCTAATCTTATTAATTTTAACAGCTGTAATGATTTTGAAAGGCTTTGCTCAAAAAAGTAAGGTTTAGCATTTAGCTGTCAAAATGGAGAACCTGAGAATATTTCCAAAGATGGCAATCAACACTTGTTCTTAATCATCTTAAAAGGATGTATGGAATCTTGAGACTTTTTCACTCTTCTTTCTCTGGCTCACACTTTTCTATCTGTTTTAATACTCATTTCTCACTCTTTCCATGCAAGGTGTTCCTTCCAAGCTAGCACAATGCACTCCAATAAAGAAGTTTCTCTTCAGGATGAAGGATGGGAAAGCATTGTACTCATTTTGTCTTAGATCCATGTTCCATTACTAAATGTGCTTTTGTGCCCGTAGATTGGGACTGTTGCTGTTTCACCCTTTTTGAGTAGCCTTCTGGAATAATCTTTCAAGAGCTTATGAAGGGTACTCAGAAGAGATGAGGACTGTCTAACCTCCCCTGTTCTAGACATGGGTGCCTTACCAGGCACTTAAAAGGAGAAGCACTGGGCTTATGCACAGGAGGTGTGGGAGTTAGCACCCACTGCTGAACTGTAGTATTCTTGCCACTTGTGCAGCCAAAGAGGAGGATGAGGTCAGTCTTGACAGTAACAGCTTTTAGTGAAGCTTTCTCCTTTGTGTGTGCTATGGAAGCACATTCAAACAATGGTAACACACAAACCAAAGCATCTATGTAATTTCACAGCCCCCTCTTACATATTAAATGTCAAAACTAACTTTAAATCATCTTGCTGTGGAAAACTGGACTGCAAAGTCAGCAAGATTGAAATGAACTCTTCAAAAGACTGTACTATGCTCCCTCTTCTCCGGTTCAGGACAATCAGAGGAAATGATTTGGCATTGCGAAGTCGTCATTTAAAAACTTACTGCCCCCAGGAAAAGTTGAAATAATCACTATATAAGGCCACCCTTGAATAGGATACTTAAGCACCCTGCTGAAGTACAATAAATTCAAATATGACTGTAAACTGCCTTAGTTTATCAGCAGGCAGAGGAGAGATTTGGAGTTGATGTCATTCATTTCATTTCCAGAGCGCCAAACCAAATATAGGGCTTTGTTCTCCAAAGCTTACAAAGGCTTTCTTTCTAGACGCTTCCCTGAGTGCTAGTTGTCCCAGAAACAAGTATTTCCCCACAAAACAAAGTGCAGAATAGAGTTCAAACCTGTTTGTCTCTGTCCTGCCTCCTTACAGCTTCAGAAGGGAATAACTGGAGGAACTACAGAGGGGTTCTTGCAAGTCTGAGGCAAAACCATGCTATGCAGAATTGGTTACAGCTGGGAATACCTAGGGGCTCATGAAAATGGACAGGACTGTGTCAAAATCACAGCTGTAGGCTTGTAATTTTAACGCTCGTTAGGAACCATGTGTGGCTGCTGGAAAAAGAGGGCAATGGTGCTGCTCTTTAGGGTGGTGTCTCTCCTTTACTTAAGGAAAATGAGACATGAAATTCAGGCCACAGATGTCCCCTTGTTCAACAACAACAAAAAACAGACTGCTGAGAAAACCTTATTCTGTAGCTCCTCCACACGCAGTGTTTGTTGTAAAACTGCCATATTGCAGCAGCTAAGCATCTGACTAAAAGTAAAAGTTACGCTGTGCTTTCTATGAACAGTTATTACAAAAGCTACCTCCACAGCAAGCAGCATGAATGCAGCCTATGCTCAGTGCAGCAAACACCACCCCGAACAACTTCTGAGGGTTAGCTGAAGGCAAAAGAGCCTCAGAGGCTTTCAGTGAGATCACATCTTATGGCCATTAAGTGAATGGATCCTGTACAGGTTCCGTAGCATTTCTCAGTAATGCAAGTTAATCATTTCAGAATACTTCCAAGAGCTGAATTTATCAGAATAAAGGCTTGTGAACTATCCAATGGGCACTCAAAAGCAAATTCATCCTTGATACAAACTCATGAAGGTACACTGGGATTCAATTTGGTAAAAAAAAAAAAAAAAAAGCTCCCTCTTCTGAAAGGGTCACTTGTAGATCAGTTGCTGGTCTGCTCTGTTCTGAGCACTGTTCTGAGCACTAGCTATCACATTCCTAAACTGCACATGGAACTGTAGGTGCATGGATGTTCATTTGAATACAGTAGGATGTGATCCTGCCTAAAGATAAGTCCATGGCTGGATCAAGACTTTGATGTCCCATGCAGAACACGCGATTCAGCTTCCTTCCAGAACAGTTCAGTACTATCTGGCAGCTGCTAGAGGCTCCATCCTTTAAAGGATCTTCTATGTACTCCACTGTCCTTACCACACCGTGTTTACTGGCTCACTTACAGCTAATGGCACAGCAATGGTACAACACTGCAAGCGTTTAGCTCCTGAACCAGGTAACTGGCATTGGGGTTTTCATCTGAAGTTCTACATTGTCTGATTTGTCACCTATCTCCACCCCTCGAGCTATTTTGGAGATTTACAGCCACAGTTTTGTGTTCAAGGAAAGTTCAGTCTGTTTCAGGTACAAATTAGCATGTATGTAAATGTCTCAAAACAGCTGTAGAAATCCCTGCCATTTTACCAGCTTCTCAAGGTGGGACTGCTTTTCACCTCATCAATTTCCATCCGAGCAACCTGTCTGTTAATCAGTACTTAAAAGCCCCATCAATCCACACAGGTGGCCAGGATTTCTGTGTGTTTCCCAGTAGAAGATTCCTGAAGGCTGATATAAACTGCAATGCCTCCTTTATAAGTAAGTGGTTTAGCATTTGATTCAATTAGAAATGTTTTACAGAAACCGTGTCAGTTTCTGACCTGCAGGTGTCTGAATTAAAAAGAGAATCGTGTTTTGTTAGAATTATTTAAGCTGCAGAAACAATACAGCTACACAGATAATTACATTAGCACGGAAAAGGCACGTGTCCTTGCAATAAATTAGAAAAAGACAACCAAATAACTGGATGAAGTAAGTCTCATCACTGCTTATATGCTTTGCAGACTCCACCTCTGTTTATAAATTTTGTCTTGTCACAGGTCTTGCCCCTGCTTTATGCAAACATTTATTCCCATAGAAAGCCTGCCTCCTGCATCTTCCACTATCTCTTTAACTTGTCACACACTGGGACCAGGTCTGCTTTGACTCACTTTTCATCCTTGCTGCTGCCTCTAAAAGTTCTGGGAATTTGAACTGTACAGCTCCTGCAGCTCTGCAAGTATTTTGCCTACCATATCCTCGGAACATACTGCAGAACAGAGCCGTACCATGCGGTACAGTGCTACACACGGGCTAAAACAACAACTTTCCCTTCCAGCACTTTAATGAATTTCACGTTCCAAGAAATTGTGAAAACAATGCACTAGTAACGAGCCATGAGCAACCCAACTGTACATCGACAATTAACAAAATATGCTAAGTGTCAATTCATTTTACAGCATCATTCGATTTTGCTTAGCCCCAGCATGCAGTTCAAAAGTTTTTGGCAGCAAGCAGCACCATAAATCATAACTCTCATGGCATCTGTTCCTCCCCAGAACCGTAGATGGAGTTCGGGATTTGGGGTAGGTCATCAGCACAGCTGGAGTCTTTACTGAACCATCACATCGATTTTCAAGTGTAGAAACCAGAAAATGATATACGGATGTGTAAAGTATCTGCTTCCTGGTTCAAAGATGAGTGTAGGCACGAAGTGCTGGAGGAAGAGTTTTTTGACAATTTTGATCACGCGTGGCAGATAAATCATTTTGAACAAAGGATTTCCAGAGACGGTTCCATGAACTCTACGTACAGTAGTAAATCAAATGCATCTAACTTGCTTCTCCAGAACCTAGTTCTGAACAGGAAAAATGTTTGCCTTTTAAGAACAATCTCATTTGCTATATTTGGATTTGACAAGCCATGAGAAAGATACGCTGACAGTGCAAAATAATCACTTTCACAGTCAGCGTGCAAAAATATATTTGCAGCAGTATGAGCTCCTGCTCATTGCACTCTGAGACTGCAGCCTAGAGCGCTGCCTGTTGATATTCTGCCAGCCAGTCATGTGTACGCTCGCTGCAAAATGTGTGCTGCACAATTCAGAAACATGGCAAAAGAGTGGTAAAAAAGCTTTGAATGCTAGTTTACCAGCAAACTCCAAATACTGGCTTTTCTATAGATTTACACCCCTTTACTTTCCTTTCTTTCTGACAGAGAGTTCATCATTTTCTTTAACAATGCCATAAACACAACATAGTGAGCAAACTAATTGTGAGGAAAGCAGAATTAGGTCCATGGCAAACTACAAATAGAACTGAAACTGAAGAAGCCATGTGCACAGTTTGACACTGAGATAATTGTGCCTTTCCTCATACAACATACCAAGTACATCTCTCAGTTATATATGACACCTACATCAGGAAGAGCTGCACCTCCTTCACTTCCCCCTTTGACCAAGATGTAGTGGTACACATATGGTACTAGTCAGTCACCCGCAACCCTGTAATTGTTGCTGCAGAACATTGCTAATTATTTTAAATGTACTGAAAGGGGAGGGATAGGTGAGGAAAGAAGATGCTACACACAACAGCTAACTTGCAAACAGCATCTGTGAGGGGCCCTGACAGCAAAATAGCGCTTAAAAGTAACTTTAGCATGACTAGTCTCAGTTGGATCTGTGCATCCAGGCAAAGCTTTCTGATTGTCAGCTGCAACACTCAAGTTGTGTTGGCTGTTTGCTGATTACGGACTGCCCATACCTTTTGTCTCCCACTAATTGCTAATCAGGGAGTGCTGTACACCTGTACAGCTAGCTGGTGCTTGGAGAGCAGCTACATAGGTGGTAGGCAAAGTTGCTGGAGTGCAAAGGTTGTTAAGAGGCAGGCACCAGTTTTTGTAGCAGCGTACATAAAAGAGGCGTAGAAAGACTGGGTTGGTGCTGCATGAAACTGACTGAGGCTGTGGAACAAAGCACCCGAGTTAGTTCCTTCTTGGGTAAGTTAATAGCTTCTTGAGCTTTATCCCAGCTTGGAGCTGTAAAAAAAGCTTAGAAGAATTTGTAATGAAAACAGTGCTGTACTATTGTTTGGTTTAGTCATTTCCAGCTAGGTTGGGCAAAGGGCCTGCCTGGCCAGATGGAGTCAAGAAGAACCAATTGTAGTAGAGGTCACGGAAGTGGTTGGTTTAATTCCTAATATGACTTTGCTTTGTTTGTTCTGATTGGTTGCATAAGGACTGGGCTTAACCTGTGTTTCCATGTGTTTTTATTTTTACGTGAGTCATTTAAAAGTTCTATTGGAAACTTTTTTTTTCTTCCTATAACTGAGAACTTTTTTTCCACTATTGCTGAGGCAGTGAAAATAAAGTGAAAGTTAGGCAGGAGGTGTTTCAGTGGAGCAGTGGGCTAACTTGCTATTTTTCTTCTAGAGAGTGAAATGCTGACTGTTCATAGAGCAGTCATTTTCCTACTGAGCTGAGTGTTGCAGTATGCAGAAGTGAACATGTGAAATCAGGGTGGTAAGAACTTAGGTCTTATGCATTTGGGTATTGCTAAAGATTTCTTTCTTTTTCTCTCTCTCTCACAAGTTGTTGGTTTCTTCAGTTGAGTAAGAGTTTTCCCCCCTTTATACTGTGGTACAGTTAGGCTTTAAGGTTAAAGGCCTGAAGTAGATCACAAGACCAAATGAAAATAAGTATAGCCTCTGATTTCAACGATTACACCTGAGTAGCCTTAATCACATTTAGAATATGTGAGTCAGAAACACTCTCCTTAGTCTCTTTAACCAGACTACTCTCGAGACAGGCTGATTTCTCCATGCAGCAACTAATGGTTAAACTTCTGGAAGTAAACTGCATGTTTCCGAAGTTTAATCTTGAAGTGTTTCAGATAGCGTTACAAGGTCTGCGTCTTCATGATCTTAATTTGATTAAACAAGAGGAAAAGGCGGCACGTGAGATCCTTATGCAAAGGGAAATTCCGTACCAAATCTACGGGATGTTATTGCATCACGTATCATTACGATGTTAAAGCAAGCTACATCTTTCCCTGCACATAACCACACCCGTGTGCAAATTCCTGAGGAAAGCCACGAGGCGCTAGATGGAAGGCAATCTAGTCAACATCACTTGAAATGAAGCAAATGCTTTCATAGGAAACACCATTTTGATGCTTCTCTCCAATAAGTGATGGCAAAGCAACTGCAGCAGTGCTGTACGCAACAGGGACCTACTTCTGTCTGCTGCCAAACATCTGTGCTCTTAGCTGGGACTCGCTGCCAATTTCAGCCTACTTCCTGACGGTGCTCGGCACTGCTGCAGACAAAGTGCAACAGGAAAGGACGTGGGGGAAGGGTTGCTATCCTGTCCCCCACTGAAATGGAAAAAAAAAAATCCCTGAGACATATGGTCTTGCATAAAATAACCATCGGAGAGAGCAGCCTGGTGCGGTGTCAGGTTAGTGAGAATATTCTAATTATACGATGTCTAAGCAGTGCCTCATTTGCAGTCGCTGAGTAAACCAAATGTAGATGACAAAACTGCAGGTCGGAAGAGATGCGTATTTTAACAGCATCAGAACCTTTACCCCCAGATTACTAAAAACAACCCCAAGCCCATTACTTATCAAGTAATGTAAATAAGAATTGAGACAAACTGTTATTTTCCATAACAGGAAAGAAGTTGTTTAGGCTCTTTAAAAAAAAAAAAAAAATCTGTCTCAGAAACTTATTGCTAAGGAAACACTAGATTTCAGTTGGAGTTGTGCTTCATTTTCAGCAAGTTTTACAGCACCCCTTATGTAACAGAACTGATAGCCATGCAGGAGAGCTGACAAGTCTCATCCGAATCACAAGGCATGCTTGTGCTCATGAAAAGCGGAGCCGTGTCAGTTAGGTTGCTGGCTTCTCCAGCTCTCTGTTCACCAGGAGAACATTATAGGGTTGGTAATATGTCAGAGCATGTCAAATTAAGGGCTGCACAGCAGTGAAGGGTAGAGCAGAAAGCGTTCGATTCCAGGCCATTGAGTCCCTTTAACAACTACATGCAGTAATTCCCCAAACTATCTACTCAGTCTCAATCACATGGAAAACATAGCACAACGTTAGCTCTCAAGCTTGCACCGAGTGCAGCTTGAATATTAGACCATCCAAGTGGATTAAAGAGGATGACTGATTTAATCAGAGTAATTCTTTTAATGATAACTTGTTGCATTTCTCCTCCCCCCATCTCCTTAAACATTTAATAGTTGGCTTCCTGGATTCCCGGTGCATAAACTGAGCATATTTTCTTCCTACAGGAAATGATCCAATTACGTCGATGTATAATTGATAATGAGCTGTTTAAGCTGATGTTGCTCTTGAAAGGTCTTCACGGCACGAAGTCCCTTTGCCGGCCCTTTTCCCCTCATGCATAGCTCAAGGGTGTAATGTAAGGAGAAAGCCGGGAGGGGACTGTTGGTGTGTTCCAAGCACGGTAAACAAGAGAGGAATTTCAGCTCTAGTCAGCTGAGCCAGCTTGGAGCAAAAGTATTGACTACTTCAAAATAATTTAGTTCCTTATTACTATTCAATAATCAAATTGCTTGCAGTTTTAGCCAGTGAGAGGAGCAGTTCTGACAGAAATGGCTCAGTAAATGCTGGTATTACTATCTCCATTTAAGAACTGAGGACCAGTAGTAACTCAGGACCACGCCAGCACAGAGCAAGGAAGTCCTACTGGTAGCATATCTAGAGCAGAAGGTTTCAGAGGCTGATGAAGCGAGGCTGGAGCATGTTTCTGTAAACTAATTGCAATAGGGTTTACAAACCTAATGGCTTAAAATCATTCTTAAGGTGAAAGAGTTGATGCCTACTCTCAGTGTAGTTGGCTGCCCCTTGTTAGACTTTTGCTCTCTTCTCTCCACTGGCGCCAACTCACCCTGGCTTACCCCCTGTTGTCTCCCTGTTGATTTTGGGATTGGCTGTGAGGTGTGCAGGAACAGGCCGGCTTTTTACAAATCTCATCAAAAGCCTGTGTGATCCCTTTTGCTGCTTAAATGTTGAGGTACGAGTGCAGTAACAACACCTGTCACGTCACTTGAGATCTTGAATGCCAAGTCAGGTGTTCAGAGCTGTTGTCTGCCACTGCTGCATGCCCATTATATAGGGGCCCACTTGGGCCCTACTAGCCTAGCTGTGCACAGTCTGTACAACCTAATGGCGGGATGCATTGTCATGCAGAGATGGGCACAGGAACCATCCAACTGACACAAATTCCCCAGGTATTCAGTAACTATTATTCACTATTCCAGAGGGCTTTTACTGTCTGTTCTTTACAATCAGAGCAGCCTTCCCTCTATTATCAACAAGACTTTTACTGGAAAGAATTTTTACAATTAGGCAGTAAGATTTTTATAGCGCTGCCTTCTCATACCACTTGAGCAGGAGTCTGCCACTGGGTATGTTAAGAATACGTTTATTTTAAAGGACGCTGAATACATTACCGCCTTTGTTTGCTTTTTGTGTTCCTAGTATGCTCCTTTTATGGTTCAAAGTAACCCTGCTTTGGTGTTGGAGTTGACATCCCAAAGACACTGAGATTTCTTCTCTCCCAGGAGAGTCAGGTATATGAGTAACCTGAAGAATCTTTACTGCATGGGGTAAGGTGCCAGGCTGCAAGTGGTGCTACTAATTTCAGTGCCAGCATTTCCATGAAAAACATTCCGTATAAGCACTACCGATAGATGTATTACTCTGTTCTTCCAAGAATCTTTCCTTCCTGTTGTCCTGTCTCTTCATCCATCAGTTACACAGCTAACTGACCTTCTTCCTATTTCTGTCAATATCCTTCCAGTGAAGGAATTTATAGAGCTGTGGTTGAAATACTAACTGCAAATTTCCAATTGTTTTTTTCATAAAGTTACAACTTTGTGTTAAGGACTAGATTTTTTTTATTTCCCATGATAGGCTTTGCCAACTTAAAACCAATTTAGCTTCAAATGTGCAGTAAAAATTCTTCTACCTAATGCAACTGCTCAGCTTATATACCTTGATTTTTTTTTTCCCCACTGTGTTAAAGGGTGGTTGTACCTAAAATGCCCAATTCAAAACTAAGCACCTGCAAAAAGAGATGAACACTTGTATTTCTAATCCCTTTCAGGTAGAATTCTCAATAAATTTTTGTAACAATGCAAGGTAAAACAATTCTAGACAGAAATGTTTTGTAAACTACTTCCTCTCAAGTTCTCCATCTGTCAAGATTCTGTAGTCTTACTAACTAGTTCTCAGGGATTTCTGAAGTACAAAATATATTTTAACTTCCAGCATTAAGTGCTGCCAACTCACTTTAATACAAAAATGTTTTGAAGTCTACTTCTAACTGCCACATACTGTAATAATGTTACTGAAGCAAGCTCCATTAATTTACCTTCTTACAGGCCTTGCCCAGTTCTGCCTGCAGAGACAACCAGACAACTTTCACAAATTGGTAGGACTTGTGTTTGCGTAAGGGGAAGAGGAAGCAGAGATCGTTATCTCTTGCTTTTCAGAATGTGGCACATAAAAGCAATTCTGACTTACCGAGCTGTGTGAACCACAAGCACAGAAACGTGTCATGAAAACAGACAAAATATGAAAATATTGCAGGAACAATTGGAAATCAAATGTCATGCTGATTGACAGTAGAGGTCTATGGGGATATTATAGGCAGGCAGGAACTTCATCCTGATTTAAAATAAATAAATAAATAAAATGGGGTAACAATCTTCCAAAGGCAAGCCTGCCAGCAGGTGTAACATGCACAACAGAAGCAGGGAAGGCTGAGTATACCACATACTGCCCCTATATTCAAATACGCAGCCAAATACAGATGGGTTAGGGCAGAGAAGTAGACAGGGTGATAGAAAACACGTGGAGCTTTCCAGCAAGGGAGTAGAGACCTTATTGTCCACTGTAAAGCTCCATGTGTTTGATTCAAATGGCAGCAGCATCCTGGCTCCCAGATCCTTAATTTAATCACTTGTTCTCACCGTTCCTACAACTTTCATTTCATAAACGATCAAATAGTTCAAATAAGTGTTCATAACTGCAAAATTTCCTGCTTCTGTGAACAAAGGCATCTTTTGCTTGTGTCCTTGACGGAGTCCAATACTGTTCCTGTATTACAGAGAAGTTAACCTGATGCCCAATATGTTTCACAAATTTTTCTAGGCTGCTAGCCCCACAGTCCCCAGTCACCTTGTGGAAACTGATCCTTCAGAGAAATTTGGAGTGTCTGAGCTATTTAATAAGGACAAAGTCTCCACAGTGTTTCTCTCAATAATGGTTCTAGTTCAGGACTATATGTGGCGAGATGCAACTGAGGCACCCTTGAGTTAGCTTGCTTACGGACTGGGTCCTGACCCTGCTAATCTTCTCCCAAAGCTGCTCAGTACCTGTGTGCCTGATAGCTGTAAAGACAAGTGAATCCTCACCATCCTCCCCCAAAGCCATTTAGGAAGGTGGTAGTTTGATTATGACAGACCGATTCAGTCCTAACAATGAAATTGGTAACTTCCTAAATGGTTCTTCAAATATAAATTAAACAACGACAACAAAAAAAAGTTTAACCTAAATAATATAGGGGAGGAGAAGGGGAAAAAGGACAGTTTTATTGTCTTACATAGTACTGAACTGTCATACGCTGATATAAATTGTGCAGTCTGAAACCCTTTCAGTTCACACTGCTATGGGTTGCTCATGAGGCAATACTCCATGTAATTATCAGCCAAACTACATCAGTAAACTGTTCCTTATAGCATAATAACTTGCCTTCAGCATTTTTCTTTTAAGCTCTAGACTGCTACTCAGATTTATTTGCTCTGACAATGCTGTTCAGTTACTACTTGATAAAGTTAGATACTAGCAATGCCAGAAGAGCTGGAAACTTCAAAAAACACTTAAAGAAGTCTGTGGGGAGTTTTTGTTTGTCAGTATTACTTGAAAGAAACGCAACACAATGTGGAGGTGCTTAAATCCTTGAAATTTCACTGGCCTTTTTATCGGAAGTAAGAAAGTCAAAATACAATACAAGCTTTCAAGATTTGAGCTAAATGCTCAAAATTCTCTAAATGCTAATCTCCAACTGTCTTAAACATTAATCCATGGTAATCATTAAACATATTTTGTGCATCTCTCCAAAGAAAATAAATTGTAATAAATTCTTAGACTGTAAGCAACTGCAGAAACAAAGCAGGTTGTAGTAGATCCTGTAAGATAAAGCTTGTCACTTTTTTCCACCAGCAAATGAACTGTTCAACATTCTGTCAATTTACCAGAAGTATAAAATCAGAGCAGCCAAAAAATTTGCAGCTGAGAGTCCTGTAAATACAAATGTAGTAGAAGCTCCTCCTACAATTCCTACTGAATGTTTTTTTGTTGTAGTTTTGCTTGAGGGTTTTAATTGCTGGGTCACTGCTATTTCTGTAAGCAGTACTTTTTTTAACAAGAAATGTTCAATAATGTTAACGGAGGTTTCAGAACTGCACCTTTGATGCTGCTCTTCGAGCAATACTTCTGCATGTTTGTGACTTGGGTATTTCCTCTTTATCTCTTTTGAAATTATACTTCCCTTTTATGACAGCGTGTCTCTTTCAGCCTGCGTTCTTTAGCTAACTTGCAAATTGAAATGGATTTATAATTGTGAATAATAAGGAAAACTGTGACTATTTCATATTTGATTAGATCTTGCTTATCGATTTTATAATGCAATGAGAATGAATTGTCACAATCAGTCAAAACCCTTTCAATGGAAACTGAATTATAACTACAGCATACTAAACAATCATGGTAATGCAGCCAACATGTGCATTAAAAAAACGGGGAAGAAAAACTATAGATACTTCCCTCCACACACTGGTAAAAACAAGGATGCTGGCAATGTATCATACTCCAGCTGCTTCCAACAAATACACTTAAAGTGCTTTACTAGAGAAGAGGAGAGAGTCTTAAATGTCATGACAGGAAAATGAAACTCCAGTTAGATTCTGTGCTTTTTCAGGAAGCTGGAGACAATATTCAAGCCCCTAAAAGCTCTCAGAAGGTATCACAGTGCTAACACTTTTTCTGTGATCACTTATCCAAACAAATGAGACTGGTGAAACAAAGACTGAAACAAGTTGGTACATTTCCTATTGGAGAAGTTTTCTCATGCTCCTTTGTTACAACATTTACAACCATTACAACATTTTCCATAGGCCCGGAAAGCCACAACATAGTCTTTTTAAGGACAGAAATAAGCATCAAGCTGAATGTTGAAGCATCTGTTACAGCTACAATCTGCTTAACAACCCTAAACAATTCCAGAGTTAAGTCAGAGTGTAAAGAGCAGGCTATGTTTAAGCTATAGAACGATTTCCTTTAAGTTTGCTGTTTCTGCACAGTCCCTGTCCTAAACTATTCCCTTAAAAACAAGGTGCTGCAATTAGGTGCATCTTTTCTTCCTCTGCAGCCATGATATGCATACATCTGCTATTTTTACACTTGGGATTTTCATGAGTGCCAGAAGAAGGTGGACTGAGGCTTGTGCAAAAGCTATCTGCCAAACTGACTCTGTCCACAAAGAAATGGCAGTGCTTGAAAGCTCCTGGGAGGAATGAGACAAATAGTCTGAGACTGCCCAGAACCACACTGATGAAAAATAAGGGAAAATGAGACAGCGTGCAGGATATGTCAACTTTCTGTATATTTTAATTATAGAATTCTCAAGCTGAGCTCTTCATAAACTTCAAGAGACTGTACTCCCTTTGCCTTCTCAAAGAGCAAGAAGAGTGGAGAAATCCAAGTCATTGAAGGGTCCAACCTGCAGGTCAGTGACTCTTGTTTGAAAGGACACTCCAAATACAGATGTCTTCTTCCTTTACCTAGTTCTACCTTGACATATGCATTTTGAAATTTAGTACCATTGGAAATTTATTTGCTTAATGAATTGGGACTACATATTTTGCTCTTATAGATAAGTCTTTCTCTGGTGGCTTCAAATGTTGCATTGGTTTGCACTAGCAGAAGAACTGGTTTGTGTAAGCATTTAAAATGGCATAGATTGAGATTTAAAAAAAGGAGTACCACATGGGGTGTATATCATTTCAGGAAAATAAATGTCACTGCATGAAAAGGTTGATTATCTCTCTTTAGAATGTGCAAGGAAGCTTCTCAAATTACATTTATTTTAAGCAATGAGAAGGAAAAGAAGTTGTTTCATGATGCCGTTAACTTCCACGAAAAAAACACACTATTCAAGGGAAGTGATAAATTCATGACTGCATAATATCCTGTATGTGAGTAGTATCCTTCATTTATTTAAAATAGAAAAAAAAGATGGAAAAGGAAATGAATTATAACTCTCAGAAAAAGGATTTCATTATTGGTTTTGACTTGACAGTAGGCTTTTTTCCTCTTTTGCTGCTTATGTGCAGCTGCAGCACGCTTAACCCTGCGTAAGGCACGCGACCTTTAGTTAAAGTACAAGGCAAACAAATTATGTCCTTTCAACCTAAGGTGTCTGCTTTAAATGCAGCCACAATACTGTCCAGCCCCTGACCACAAACAAAGCGTTCCTTTTGCTTTGATTCTTGCTTGCAAATCACAGTAAGAAGTTGAAGAGCCCCATCTCACTGATGGGAGTTGCTCATGGCATGTTGTGGGGGGGGGAGGAACTGAAAGTCTTGTTACTTACAAGAAAAACAAGCAATTGATGTCAAGGCTAACATATATATTTAGAATGCTTCTCAGTATACCAAGATTTGTGCACTATGTATTTGTCATTCATTCTTAATAACTTTAACCAGTTGTTCTCAACTCTGTTGGAGTAAAAGTCTCAATTTGTTTTAGATTAAGCCTGTAGCAGCCATTCCTCAATGCATCCTCCTCAAACCCACTGTACTTTATAGACCTGGGAGCTATCAAACTCTATACAAGGTCTGAGCATGAAAAATTGCAGGAGCAGCAGGCAATGTTTATTTACACAACTGCATCTCTGTGTGTAGAGCACAATATATTGGTATTACACATTTAGGAACCAATTCTTCCTGGAAGAGCAAGTGGAAGTGGAGAGTATGCTATTATCTTGAGGAAATGTTCAACTTATTGCCTGATACTCACAGAATTGATGATCCCCTTAAGTGCTTGGAATCCTCCAGTGACAGGGAAGACTTGCTCTTTTGTGTCAGCAATTTTTTCAAGCTATGGAGAGAAAACACATGGAAACTTATGAATCACTTGGCAAATGAAGCTCTTTAAATGAATTTTCAGCCTTTAAAATAAAAAAAGATGTACAAAAAAAATACACTTTTCATAACTCTGCAAAGAGAAGGAAAAATTTGGGTTCCCTCTCCAGTGAAGAAGCTACCCGTGTTTTTTCTAAGTGGGAGGATCTGTGAGAACCTACAGCAGATAACAAAAGGGTGTAGTAGCTATCCATCATGTCAAACAACGACAGTAAAAAAAGCTTTTAGGGCCTGTATTTCGGCAGTAATTCTGCATCTCTTTCCAAAGTTATGTTCTCTTCGCTCTGCCTTACGTTAAAAAGCCTTTCTACATGCCTTTATTATAGTAAAGCATCTCTTGTACACTGCTCCCTTTAAGTCAAGCTCACGCTACAGAAGTAGCTCCAGGGATGATTAGGACAGTTTTGCCAGAGAATGGCAGATCTGGAAGACCTTTTAGTTGGCGAAAGATATCGATTTTTTTAAAAAAAAATTCTTTTCTTTTATCCTTTTCATAAGGTTGTTACATATTCTGCTTAAAGCTTGTCCATAGCAATGCAGTTAATGCCAGCTGTAGCCTGATCTGGTTAGTGTCTTAATGGAAGGTTTTACATATATCCCTTGCTGTAGGCAGATATGAGGTAGCAAGGGTATTTCTGGGAGGTTTTTTCTGCACCAGAAGTGCCACCCGCACGTTCTGTTCATGCCTGTATATGCATCTGAGTGTCTTCCCGCACTTTCTGTTCATGCCTGTATATGCATTTGAGTGTCTGCTTCCTGAGCCAGAGAAAATATTGTCCTGCCTAATGTAAGTAAAATTTATTTATATATTATTTAACATGAAACGCAAAACCCTGTAACAAGGTATGGCCTGCTAATCTAAAATAGTAATGTTCTTACCTGTTGTTGCACAAAATCCAGGACGCCAACACAGTAAACTCTAGCCCCTAGACTTCTGGATATCTTTGCCTGCCATGGAACAGAAGAGAGAATTAAGTATTTTTTCATTCAAAAGGCAACGCAAGCTCTTCAGAATACAACATGCATTTTCACCTAGTGCTCACCTCCTTCTCTGCATACAAGGGAATCTGGCCATCTAGCTTGCCATCTGTCAATGCAATGATGATACTAGAAAACTTTGCTCCATGCTGCTTAATCTGATCATTGGCCTGAAAAAAAAAAAATATATATATATGAACATTTAACCAAGTTGTCTCTTCTAAGCTAACATGGCATTTGAAACAACATGCTGCTTTATCTTCAAACCCATCTCTTCCGACGATCCTCTGCCTTCCTTTCACGTGTTACTAACAAGGAAATAATTTGTCACTACGTTACAGTTAGTAGTGAGTGCATCTCTGAAGTGATAGTCAGTAACTGATCAGTTCTTGAAAAAACTTGATTCCATCAGGACGGATGCTTTGAGTTTTGAAGCTCACATTTCTTTAAATCCACCATAAGGTTTTCTCTGCTACCCGCAGCTTTTAAATGTCAGTCAGTAGGTTCCAAGATATAAGAAGAGTGGCTTACCATTACCATTTTTTAAACAGCAACAAACTTCTGTTTGCCTAGCTTTCAGCCCACAGATCATAATTACAATCTTGGCTCTACAGGCATAAAGGAAGAAAGTAAGTTTCTATCCATAACCATGAAAGCTTAGTTCCTCGCTTTACTTCTCACCAGCAGGGTTTGAGGCTTTCAGCAAAATGACCAAGTGTACTTTCACAGTTTATCTCAAGAAAATATAAGTAGTTCAAAAAAATGCTAGTTGTTTCTAAAGTTCTGATCTGTGCTGTTAATTGTCAATGAGCACCTTCTTTAGAAGGCCCTGCTATATGTGCAGCCTGACAAAGCTGTGTGTGAGTATTTACCATGTAACTGGTATTCTGTGTCAGCTCTTTGATCCAGAACAAAGAAACACTCTCTGCTGTGAAGGATCAAACCAAAGAAATTGCATATGGCAAATTCCTGCAATGGCTGTTCTGCCTCCTGCATGGGATCTGCTTAGTGTCCGGGCAGTCCCAGGACCACAAGAGAGCCAGAAATACTTGAGTGTAACTCACCAGAATATAAAATCAATCCATTTATGTTACAGATTGTGTTACCCAAAGGGTGAGAACAGAGATGGTTTTAATTGCAAGAGGGTGAGTACAACCTACCTGTTTTAATCCTTCATGTATGTATGTGTCACCGGCTGGTTTCACCTCCTCCAAATCCTTAAGACCTTGCTTGATTTTCCCTCTGAAAACAAAAAGGTTAAGGATTTCAGCATTGATTTACAGTGGGAAAAGATGTTACTTTATTGATGGAAAAAATTAGCATTTGTTGTAAATGAAGCCTGAAATTAAAATCTGTAAAACACGGCATTTAGCTATGTGTGGAGGCAGATCTTATATTCACAACGGAAGCAGCACTGTGCTAACAGTTAGTTTAAACCTAAATAACAGAATATGCCTCAGTGAGTCAAAGAGCTGGATTTGGGTAAAATGTTTCAGAGTAAATATCACAAAAAAAAGTGACCAAGCCTCAGCATTAAAATGGCCCAACAGAAATTTTGTTTTATTAAGTTTACTTTGTTCAATTAAACTGACTTGACTTCTGATCATGTTGCAATTAGAAAAGGAAATCCCTTAAAATAGCAGTTGTATTTCTAGTTAAATAAATCATCCTGGTCAGTCTGTGGCTATTTAATAGGGTAGGAGAGAACTGCAATAATTAAGTTCTTCTGCCTTAAAAAAATTAGTATTGATAGGCAAAAGCAGCATTTGTGGGACACCTCTTTCATCTAAGGAAAGGCAGTAGCAGTAAGGATAGCGTTAAACATTTTTTCCAACTAAATCTGGAAGTTCTTAATTCTTAAAGTTCCACTCAACCCATAGAAAGTTACCCTGGGGAGAAAAACAAACAAACAAGCAAAAAACAGCTAAGTAAAGACATGACATGTGGGGCAGAGCATACAGAATAAATATAGGTGACAATGAGAAAATAAGCAGGGGTGAGGAGACGGAGGGAAAATACATTGCAGGATGCATGAAAGCTTTCCTTAAGGCAAGCAAAATGAGAAAGAATGCATATGCCGGTCTGCCTGAATGCCACCCACTAGGCATTTGTTCCGCTGATGGGGTTCCTCTATGTTTAGAAGCTCTGTTCCAAAGTACAATCCCTAGCTGCAATAAGCTCCCAATCACAGGATCAACTGATACAATTAAAAAATAAAAATAAAAAATGTCACATTGAATGTATGGAGAAGAACAAGTTATGTAAGATAATACAATCTGTTTGATCCAAATATTTTATATTCAGCATCTATAGAAACAACTTGAAACTGATTATGTATGAACGCAGATTATAAACCACATACTTAGTGCTTGCCAGGATGAGTGGCAGCACATCACAGGCGTTAGCGTTCTGCTGCCAAGAAACAAGCAGCAACTCAAGTCCCAGTTTTCTGAAACAGATTTCATTTTGCAAAAATAGCTTTTGTACAATCAGTTCAGTTTTATTTATCTAAAATGTCTTGTGACCCAGCCACACAGAAATCTCTGGTGTTTCCAGGCCTCTGCCTACAAGGGGTTCCAGGAAAATCTTTGGCAGCAGCAGCTTTTTTAGCTGCAACTTAATCAGTCACCATCCCTTTTTGGGGCACGTGTTACCAGATCAGCCCAGCCAGACACAGGGAAGCTCCACCCCTGCTTTGGGAGAGTCAGGTAGGAGCAAGCCGTGCTCCGGCTGTCACAAGGCGAATGCAGGACTTGCAGCCCAAGCAGACTCCCCCCTAACAAGCATTAAAAGAGATCAGCCGAGTCACACCAAAACTCACACCCAGAAGGTTTGGAAGGAGGGCACAGGAGCTCATCTCTGCCTGAACCCCTGCAGTAACAGGACCCTCTACTCAGCCAGCTGTAGTACTTGGAAGCCCTCTTTCTTGCTCTGCAGTGCTCTCAGAATTCTCTTCTCTCTAGTTTCAGTAATGAGTTGTTGTAGCCACAAAACGCTGCGGAGAAGGTCTGGTTTTATATGAAGCTCATCTGTACTGAAATAACAGAACCATGACCTCAGCCTGGGTGTCTGGACACCACTGCACTACAATTCAATAATGGTAATAAAGGCTGGATTGCCTTTGGCTTCGTGGTTTAAGTCAGACAAGGGAGGGAGGTGGAAAAGGCAAAACAAAATCAGCAACTTGCAGCCTGTCTGTGTTTGGGCTGAACAATCACAATTTTAATATCTCTTCCCCATTCGGCATATGTGCTGCATCACACCTCTGTCTTTTAGAAAAGGCACATTTAATTTGTTTTACATACCCTGTCTGTTCTCTCTTATAAACTTTGCAGCTACTTCAGATAATGCTTCTAGTAGCAGGCAGGCAAATGCAACCGTGGCTATAAGCACTTTGTCATTTTGATACAAGGGTTCTTTCAGATCATCTTGTGAACTTGTGTGAGTAGGGGCTGTGGGGAAGAGCCCAGCCCAGCCCAGCTGAAATCAGGAGAGATGCCGGGCTGAGCCATGCCCTTTGGGGACCTCTGCTGTGCTCTGTCTCGGAAAGCAGGACCTCATGCCAGCATTACACACTCCAGCTGGAGAGGCTTTGTTTGCTGTGTGGGAGGCTGTGCCAACTCCTCTGGGAGGCACGTGGGCCTGTCTACAAACACCGCTCCCTGCCTGGGCCAAAGTCTACAGCGAACTCGTCTCCTACCTTCCGTGCCCCAAGACAGGGTGCTGCAGAACTACATTTAGAAGTTAAACCAGACCATTTAGTAAAGAGCGATTACAATGCAGCCCAGCTTTGCAAACAAATAAACCAATTTAATGTAAATTAAAATGTAGCAACCTTCCTTTATCTGAGCATGATCCAGAATTCAGATTTACTTAAATACTAGAGAGCTAGATACAACAATAATAATTATTCTGCTTCAAATTGTAGGACTCCTGCATGTGCTTTGAACAGAAGACAGACAGGCACCAACTTTCCTGTACTTTATATAAGGAGTAAAAACGCAGTCTCTGTGAATGGCTCTACTTTGGCAAGCTTCTTGTACCAAAGCGCAGGGTTTGCTCTTGCGACCAAGACTGAACGTGCCTAGATGTCTTGCTATAGGTTACGGGATGTTCATACTCAACTTGTCTGTGGGCAGCAAAGGAATGAACTCCATCAGGCTGTGGACAAGCATGGTAGGGTGCAGCTGGTAATGCATCAGATACTTAAGGGTCTGATTTTTCCACTTTCAGGAACATAATCTTTCTTTATATCCCACAGAATCAGCACAGCTAGTTCTGGCTATGGATACCAGCCACATGCTGCAGAATCGGGCTTACAGAAATCTGAAATTCTGCTGGCCAGCAGAATGCAGAAGACTGACCTTTGCCAGTGTAACTGCTTTTCTGAGCAGCTCCCTTTTAAAAGTGGTAGCATAGCTGAGCCCCAAATGCGAACGCACAAATCTTTGTTCACTGGTCTGTATACAGTTTGCAGCCAAACTTCACTGGGGAAATGAGCATCTCTACAACAGTAGTTTCCATTTGGGTGTTACTTTTATTCCAAGTATTTGTCACAGCATTGTGTGTACTGTGGTTATCAGTGACTTCTCTTTGCACAGTTATTTACATAGTCCCAAAAATATTTGGCAATGCAGGGGCGTTAGCACTGTGGTGTGGGTTTCTTTATATCCACAGCTTTATTATATAGGAAAAAGCAGCAATCACTTTGTGCAAACAATTAGAATGCTTTGGCTTTTTAAACAAAAAAGACCTCCCTACTTTGAACTAACTGCTGGGAATGAGTTGTGGTTTCACAAATTGCTAATTGGTGAATTAGCAAGTGAGTGTGGGGAAAAACATCCTGGCAAAGCTAAAATGCATGTAAACTAACAAGGCTGGAACATCCCATAATCACGCACACCCATCCCTGATACCGCGCTGTATTTAGCCTGCTCACCTCCTGTTCAGAACAATGGGAGTTAAAATTGTAAGTCATTTTTAACCGTTGACTACTTCAATATTGAAAGTAACAGCTGTTCCAGCTCTATCTATCTGTTCTTATTCATGTAGGTAGGGTCAGGTCACAGTTACCATTGTCTCCCTTCCACCTTCCTTTTAGTTCCTCCTAAACATGCTCAAAACAATTGGCAAACCTTGTATTTAAGAAAAGTCCTTCAGAGGAATCCACAAGAGCGTAAATGGGTTCTTTCTATGCTTTAAACTAGATTTCCAAGAAACACTTAATTCTTTCCACAGCCTGAAGCGTGCCACAGGCACGCAATGATAAAAAAGGCACTTGTGCTCCTGTGGCACAATTCCAGAACTCTGTCCAAGTGCTCTGTGTGGTATCAATGCTGACTCTGAGTTTGATAAGGAATAGACTACTAACAGGGATTAAGAGCCTATTGAAATCGAGAGAAAGGGTCTCATTGACTTGAGCAGTCCTTGGAACAGGCTTAAATGTCCTCTTCTGAACTCTCCCAAGCCATCTGGAAAAATGGCTTATAACCTTGTCTCTCCTTGCAGAGCGCAGCTCTAGCATCCAAGTGCAGGCCGGGGCGTGAACTGTTCTCAAGTCAGACCACTTTTTGAAGTGCTTGAACAGGTAGGGGCTTGGAACTGTGTCCTCAGACAGTCTACTTCTAGAATGTCAGCCTCCTTTACTATAGGGCGAGACATTTGTCTGTTGCCAAGGTCAGTTCTCTTCAGTGTTGTACTTGCTATTATGTAGCCTTTACTAAAAAAAAAAACAACTGAGTGCAAAGGACAGATCATGTTTTGTATCAATTCCACTAAAGGAAACAGAAAGGAAGGACTACCTCACTTCCATCCTGTCACAGTTCATTAATATGATTTGTTAATGATTTATCCAAATGTTCCAAATCCAAAAAGTTGTTCATAGTGCTTGGCTTCTGGACAGAAGGGAGACAGTGAGGGTGTGTTGTTTTGACAGGGCTGAAAGGATTTCTGAAGGACCCAGGTGATTTGAGAGTACTGCAACTGTCCTCTGCTGAAAGAAGGGATTCCCCAATATAGTTTCCAGTTCCTGTGGTTTCGGTAGTTAATTTTGCAACAATCTCTCCTCTACCTGATTTTTTTTGCTGCTGTTTCCCCATCACCTATCCCTGACCTGTCGTAGCTGCTAATCATCACTTCTTGAAATCACAGTGAGTAGCTTTGCATTCCATTGCCTTTAAAAACATCAACAGAAAGGAAGAGGTCAGGTACCTCAAGACATGCCCATGGTGTCACAAAGATCTCTCATCTTTCAAGTGGCACAAACTCTACCATCTAAAACTGTTTTTGAAGTCATCATTAGAACATAGACAATATGAGATAATGGGAAACATTAATTTACTATTGTGTGCTTTACCTGGACATAAACATTGGAAACTTTTATCTAAAGAGCTTGCTTTATAAAAGTACATAAAAAAGCAATTTCTCCTGTTGTGTCAAGGAAGGTGCAGAGTCATGCAAGAGATGAAAAACCATCAACTCGTAGTTGGTGTGCAAAGCAGCAGCAGAATTCACATCAAGAATTTTTCTCATCCCTCTCCTTTTCCCTTTTACCAGGCTTTCCATTGAGATGTTCACAAAATTAAATCCATCTCTACACCGAGGCCACGTGACTGACCACCACTTAAAGGTATCGGTTATTGTTCAGTATCTGTGACTGTTCTTCTGATTTAATAAAAGCTCTTGGTGGGGAGAGGGAGATGGGAATTAAAAAAAAGCAGTGCACTAACCTGTCTCCAGTTAATGGCATAATGACTTGTGCCTGGGAGGAAAACACGATAAAGGATAATCTCATCTTGGGGCTTTTAAAAGGGGAAAGAGAAGAAAAAAACAACAGTTTAGACAAATGAAATGTACACATGCACAGCATTCCATTCATGTACTCATTTATTACTATTGTCTTTATCCTCTAACTTCCAAAGAACACACTTTTGAACTAGAAAACAAGAACGAGAAAGGAACTGAAGGGTTTCTGCCCATCTCACTTCCTTTTCCAGGCATGCATTGAGAATGAAGTAGAAGAATTAGAATTATTTTTCTTTTCCTCCTGACTGAACTCCAAATCAACACATGCTGAACTTAAGAGTTAAGAACTCGTGTGACCCAACTGAATGTGAAATTCATAGACTGTTTACCAAACAATCTACAATCTACATACAATTTGATTGTCTACCAAAGTATAAAAGATGTTTTCATCATCACTCGCTGGTGTAAAAATAAGTTAGGGCTATGCACTTACAGTGCGCTCTTGCCCCAGGGCAGTAAACATGGACACATGCACAAGTTAGTTACCCCTTCTTAAAGTTTGATCTCAATACAAAGTATATTTCCAACTATGCTTTTAGGTCATAAAATCACCAGAATTAAAGCAGCAGCACTGTCTGGCTTTTTCAGCTCTAGTCAAGTGGCATGACAAACTCTTTCAGAATTAGTATGTTTGTCTCTGACATAGAGTTGTGCCACCTGTGATCAACCTCTGTAAAATCATCCAGGGAAATGTCATTGTACAAAGCAATCCTGTATGAAATTACTTTTTAATAAGGAATTATATCTTTTATTATTATTATTATTATTGAGAAGCCCACTTGTCTCTTAGTAAGACTAAGAGGAGTTAACTCCAACTATCAGTGGAAAAATGCATCTCTTAAGAACTGATGTTCTGGAAGGCCAAGACAGCAACTTCCCTAAGGTAAGTATTAACATCCATCCTACCTGCCTTGAATTTTTATTCATGACAAGATATTTGGTAAATTTTATAATTCATGATATATGTGTATCAGCACTGATTTATTGGGTTAATATTAGTAAAAGACAACACTTGTAAAGATAAATGACTATGCATTTTCAGTTATTTTGTGTCAGTGATGCAACTTAAAATTATTGATATCACGAAAATAAAAGTTCTGCGAAAACCTTTGGCCACTCACAACTTGGATTTAAGATCCAGTCTTGTAGGCTATTGAGGTACTGGATATTAAAAAAAAATATCTGAGATGCTCTAAATGTAATTGTAATCTAAGTTGTGGGTTTATCAGTTGTCTTAGTTGCCACAAGCAGCTGCCAAACAAACAGCTGAAATCCCCACCTCTGCATTAGATCACTATCTATCTAGCCCAAGCAATGCCAGACTTCCCTCTTTGAGATGCAACCCTCTACAAGGAGAAATGTCAAAGTTACTGCTTAACTAACTTGAACTGTCCTCTAACTAACCATGATTCTGTCCTGTTTGCAAGACACCCCATTTCTGTTTTGTGTTCCCAGCACTTGGACTCCGGGATGATGGAGGAGGGCAGCAACAGAGCTACTACTGAAATAAGTATGCAACAGATGAGCCAGACTGGTGAGCAGATGCACACAGGTCACACAGCTGTGAATTAATTCTTCAGATGAAAACTTTAGCTGTGGACCAAAGCAACCTGCTACCAAATGGTTCCCTGTGGTTCTGCCCACACCTTTTCAATTTAAGAAAGAGCAGGGTTGACTCTGTACCCTGTTTAAAAGTGTACTGAGGCCTGAAGGGGGCACAAAGGCCCTATCAGTCCTCAGAGGGGACAGTATGAACTGCTCAGGCTCCCACAGGAGCTAAACGATGGATGGTCCTTCTGTGAAGGCTTAGTGCCACGTAAGGTTGAGTGTGCAGATGCTCTTAGGTTAGGTTGTCTGTCTCTGCACTGTTGTTAACACTCCTTTGATGTGTAAGGTCAGCTCAATAACTTAACAACTAAATTATTTTAGATAATGCAGCCAGACCACTACACAACAACTGTTGCAGAGGGCATTCTAATTTGGCTGCAAAAGATGGTGAATGGAAGGATTTACACCAGACAAGCACCACTCTTTTAGTGGGGACAGATGTATTTTTCAGTGGTTGTTGAAAAAGAAGTGGTGCTACAGTGTCCCCAGGCTCTATGCTTTTTTATTATAAACTTTACAAAATAACTTTCAAAAGCTCATGTGAGCCACTTGATTAATATGAGACTTGCTTTACAGATGATGGATGTAGGCACTGTATTAAATTATGCAAGCCTATTTGTATCTCCTTATTATTAGCAAGCCAAGATTATAAGTGCTTGCTGAATTTCTTTTTCCAGAGCAAAAACTGCCACATCTGTCTCTGTATTTTTGGAGGTTTTCTTTGTTTCACTCTTTTTTTTTTTTAAAGCAGGATGCTACAACCCAGTCACCCTCAGCTGTTTGTACAGTTAGCCAGTGTTTACAACAGCCATTTCTGCAGCACCACTACTTGTCAGACAGTACTGCGAGCCAGTTAAACATAAAGTTGATTACATGTACGTATGACACATACACTGTTACCAAGGCACAAACTTCCTGTGTATTTTTCTGAGCTTGAAAGATACCTCCCCATTTTTCACCTGCGCATTTACATGCACACACAGAGGTGTAGTCAGATTGCTATCTTCATCTAGATCTCTAAAAGCAGTACACATGAAATGCTGTATGAGAAGTATCTCCCTGTGGTTCAGGGAAAAATATGTATGAGAAGTATTTCCCTGTGGTTCAGGGAAAAATAAGATCAGAAAAAGAGGTATTCACCCCTCAAAGTACTCTGAGAGACTTAAGTGTTTAAAGATGCTTACTATCGCCTTTTTACTGAGTTCCAAACATGAGAAAATTAAGGGAAAGTTTCCAAGATTTTCTCGCAATCAGGGCATTAGAAGCCAAACTCTTAACATGTTTGTGAGAGGGATCTACCGAGCTTACGAAAACGTGGGCTTTCTCAAGCTATCCCAGAACGAGAGACACTGCAGGGAACAAAACGCACCTCACAAATCTTTCCGTCAGTTGATGCACAAAATCAAATATCTCGTGCCAGTTCTGCGCTACGCTCCCAGACCTGGAAAGAAAACCAGAAGCGTGTGAGTCGTAGGCCTGAGTTACGGAAAGGGGGGGGAGGAAAGGGGCATTTCCAGCGAGACCCAGCCCCCCAGGACTGTTTGGTCCCCTCAGGACCCCCCCGGAGGTTCCCGGGAGCGGTTTTGGGGCTGTTTCCCGGTGAGGCAGCGAGCAGCAGCCGAGCCCGGCCGCCGCAAACTTCCCCGCCACAAACCCCACCGCCGGCAGCTGCGGCGGGGGAGGGGCGGCAGCTGCCCGAAAAACGGCCGCCGCCGGCACTTTTTTTTTACTCAGAAAGCGCCTTTTTACCTCACAAAAACAATAATAATAATAAAATAATACATAATAATAGTAAAACAAACGCGACGGTGGCGCGCGGCGACCGTTAGCCCGGCGCGGCGGCGGCGGCTGAGCGCGGCGCGGGGACCGTTAGCCCGCTGAGGCGAGCCCCGCGCGCTGACCGTTAGCCCCCTGAGGGGGGCCGAGAGCCCGCTGAGGCGACCGCCAGCCCCGCTCGCCGCCCCCTCAGCCCCCCGCGCAGCCCTTACTTGTCCAGCACGAAGTACAGGTCGAAGGCGCCGTGGCACGACGGCTGCTCCGGGGCCGGAGAGGCGGCGGCGGGCGGGAGCAGCAGCAGCAGCAGCGACAGCAGCAGCGGCGGCGGCGGCAGCGAGAGCCCCGCCATGGGGCCTCGGGGCGGCGGCGAGGGGACGCGGGGGCCCGGCGCGGCCGTGCTGCCGCTCAGCGGGCGCGGGCGCTGCTCGAGTGGCCGCCCCTCGCCCGCCGCCGCGGCTCGCCCGGCCCGGCCCGGCCCGGCCCTTCCCCGCCCGTCAGCGGCGGGGGCCGGGGCCGGGCGGGCTCGGCCCGCCTCCCTCACCGCCCCCCCGCTCCCCGGCCCCGTTGGCCGCCCGCAGCCCCGAGCAGGGCGACCCGGCTCCGCCGCAGGCGCCTCCCCGCCCGGCTCGGCCGTGCCGTGCCCTCCCCTCAGGCGCTGCCCTGCCGGCTCTCTGAGGCAAGTTTGAGAGCCGAGCGAGGCGCTTGCCACACGCCACGGGGCTCGGAGCCGCTGCTTGCGGTGCAAACTCAGAAGCGAGGCGCAGCCGGGGCTCCCCGGGCCCCCCGGCAGCCCCCTGAAGGCCGGGACGCCGAGCTCAGCCCGAGCGAGCCTGCCGCCCTCCGAGGAGGCTGAACCGCCGGCCTCCTCGCGTTGTGTCTTTTTAAACTATTGTTCTTATTTTTAGATCACTGCTTCCCTTTGTAAGCACTTTGCCAGCTCAAAGACCGCTCAAGTTCTTTTTCTCCCCCCCGAAACCAACCAAAAGCTGTTCCAAGTCGTGTTACATCCATGCGCATTAACCATTTTCTCCTTTCAGGAACCGGCTCCGACAGACCCAAACTGTTGCTCTGGGACTGCGCACGTGGTAACCACCAAACTGCACCGCTTCACAATAGACTCTGCCGTGCTAAATATAGAGCAGGCATTTGGTTTGAAGCATAAGCTGGATCCTTCGCAGCGAACATGAGGCACTGTGGAAAGCGTCACTTTATGCTGCAAGAATATTATCTTTTCAGAGTTTGCCATCTGGGGCCTCAGGTTTTCGCAGGAAGTTCAAATATGCTTTATAATCTTAAAATATTATCTGAAGGCTAAAAAGATGCGTGAGTTTTCTCTGATGAAAAATTCTAGCCACGAGCTGCATAGACCAAAATTATCTCCCAAGTTAAAAATAAATGTCTAGCCTCTAGTTCTTTGTTTCCTGCATGGAGTTTTCGCCACAAGCACTATGTGACGAGTGATTGACAGGATTTCAAATAAAGTTGGTTTTTCTTTTATTCACCATTTTGTTTTAACAGCATCTGATCCAAGCGGCTTTAATTTCCAGTGGGCTGCATTCACAGCTACGATGCAGGGAAGCTGAAGGTGCGGGGCTCTCCAGCGCCAGAGACTTCAGGAGAACTCAGGAGACTTCAGGCTTAGGGCTAGGCAGGGCATTCTTCCTCACCATGTGTTAAGCTACGTTTTTCTAGCCAAATAATATGTCCCAGAGCTCTCAATTTCACCAAAAATGTGTCTCCTACCATGATATCAGCCATGGGAGCAATGAATCAGTAAGGCTGTCCAACTGTGGCAAGATAAAACATGGGTCAGAGGTGCCCAATGCCTTACAAGAAAATACAAGTTTCCTTCAGAATTGGACAGTCTCCTGAAACAAATGTCTTGCGGTGGAACTGGCCACAGGGTGAGCAGTTTACCAAGACAAAAATCCCCCAGAAATTACCTTTTTCTGCCCCATCCCCTGCCAAATGAATTATTCAGGAATCAATGTGAGTTTGTGACTGGCAGTAAGCTGTCACGTCATTGTGGCTTTTATTAAATTAATGTTTTATGGGGTTGCAGGAGGCCTGGTATGCAGGGAACACAGATGGGACCGGGAGGAATTAGCCTCTTCAGACGTGTAAGAGGGGTGCTGCAGCCGAGTGCTCCTGGCCTGCGTTTCAGGGCTGCTGGGAGCACACCCAAGCGTGACCGTGACCTCGAGCTGTGTCCCTATTAGAGAAGCACATCGTACTGCAAGCTTCTGTGACAGAACCTCTGCTTTACTGCGGGTATGGCTGGCACGCAGCTCGGGAGAATGCAGCTGGCTTGCTGGGTGAGAAAAACTTGCGGTGTGGTGGACTGATATTTGTTATCCTCATGGAGCCTCCATCTCTGAGTCGACATCTTTCTTGTTCATGCGTGACAAAACACAAGAAGAATCCCGTGTCAGTCACGGCAGCGATAAGCTGGCAAAGTTGATATCTCTAACATCCATCTTCTCCTTGTCACTTCTAACAAACAGGTTTCCCACGCTGAATTGATTGTTGGAACGACAGGACGCCGCATAGAATTCTAAAGTCTTTTCTTGCTAAATTGGATCACAACACAGTTCCACTACTGTGAGATCAAACAAGTATTTTCTCTTTCCCTGCGGCAGACGTAGGAACAACCTTGGTCTTTAAACAAGTACTATTCCCTACAGAAAGAGTGATGTGAGGAGTGCAGAGACTGGTAGGGGACACAAGCAGGCAGAGGGCCCAAACTAACCAAAAAGGTGTTTCATGCTGAACAGCGTTACACTTGACAATAAAAAGGGAAAAGAGAGGAGTTAGGGACACTGACCGTCCTTTGCTTGGGAACTGGCTGGGCATCCCTCTACCCTTGGGAGGTGGTGAGTGGTTGCATTTGCATCACTTATCTTTGTTTTCTTTTTCTCTTCATCCACATTTCCCTCACAAATTTAATCTGAGCCCACGTTTTCTCATGTTTGCCCTTCCTCTCTTGTTCCTCCATCCCCTTAGAGGGGAAGGAAATGAGCAGTGATTTGGTGTGGCTGCCTACTGGGGCTAATCCACAAGAGGAAGTCACGATAGCAGGATTGAACAGAGCCTGAGAAAAAAAGCGTGTGAGCTACAGAAGTTACATGCACCTAGAATCCAGTCCCACCCTGTACTGCACTGGAACAGCTTTGTGACCAGAACCTTCATCTGCGTGAGCACAACCACTTTATTGATGTTTTTAACTGAGACAGTGACCTAACAAGGATTGTGTGCCTCTCACAGGCCTCGCAGGTGAATCAGGCACATGGCCTGCTCCAAAAAGGACCTGAAGCCTCTTCCCTCTGCAAGAGGAACTGGAAAAGCTGCAGTCAGAGGTGGCTTGATGGAGATCTTCCTCATGGGCACGGTGCTCTGCCCTGACACGGCCATGTCAGAATGCCATTTCCGTGCCAATTGGAACACAAACCTGAGCCCTGGTGTGATGTAAGCTGGAAATTTTACCAAAGTCTGTGGACCAACAGTGATTTACATCAGCCAGAGATCTGGCTCATGAAGTTCTCATGTTTCTGAGCTAGCAAGGCTAAAGGGCAAGTCAGCTGCATTTTACAGTTCCCGTGAATGTTCAAAACACAGAAGACTAAGGGCTGAGCCGCCTGTGCTTTGCCAAAGACTCAGCAAAAGCAAAGGCTGAAAATCCACTACTTTTAAGAAAGGCTGAGCAGCGCTGGCCTCTCCCTCTCTCTGCGGATACCTCGAATCCAGCACGGCGTGGTGAGAGTCACCAAAACAAGGCTGAGCTTCAGCCTCCAGATCTGCATGAGCCCGCCCTGAGCCGCGGGAGTGTGTGTCACATCATCCAGCTGTTGGAAATTTTATTTCAGCTGCATGTGACCAGCTGCTCACAGAGGGAACGACCCTGCCAGTCAGAGGTGGGTGACAGCCAGGGTTTGCTCTTTCCCAGTTTCCAAGTGTGTGAATTCCTCTTCTGGTCTGTGGTTTGTGCTGAAGTTGCAGATAAATCAAGCCTGTTTTGCTGGAAGGGTTAGATGAGACAGAGATAGGCAGGGAAGCACAGGGTAGTAGCCTGTGGATATTTACATGTCCTTGGCTTTATTTGGATTTATGTGGCCTCCTCGCCCAATTCTCAGAACTCATCAGACCACTGTGTCTCTCCTGCCTCTTTCCCTTCCTCCTCCACCACGACAGGAACCCTTAGGGGCTGAGCAAAATCCAGTCGGGTGCTTTACCCCGTCGCATTTCTCACTATGCAAATACTCAGGCAGGGAGCGCAGAGCAGAAAAATGTGGCTGCCCAGACAACTGTTTATATACAGAGCCGCCAGAAAGAACAGGCTCGTGGAGACAGGGCTTCAGCTGGAGCCTCCTGCTGCCGCCTCCGGTGCCAGGGGAGATCTGTGCTGATACCCAGGGAGCTGGATGGGAGTTCAGTCCTGTGACAAGGTGGAGGAGAAGGTGGTGTAGCAGCAGGGAGAGGTCCCTGATGCTCTTGGCAGCACCAGGAGACCTCTGTACCGACACCAGGCGAGCCACCTGTTTGCTCTGTGCGCTGCTTTGTCCGCTTTCATTTTCCTCAGCACTCGCAGACAGGTTCCCCGTGTGTTCTCCCTTACTGCCCACCCACCCACACCTTCTCTTTGCCCCACGCTGCTTGGGAAGACCTCAGGTGAGCTGTGTTTGTGCCAAACCGAGCTCTGCGTGTTTTAGAAGCGTTTCCCATGGTGGGAAATAATTCACCATGGGGAGGTGAGCCCAACAGGAGGGGAGAGGGCCATCGGGCTCTGCCAAAGTCAAGCAGAGGGTCGGTGACCCCATACACTGCCTTCCCTATAGGCAACAAAGGGTGGGCAGGACTTTGCTGCTCATTAAGTTCAATTCTGGAGCAGGGAACCTCGGCGCAACCTCTGTGAGACAGAGCTGCTTTCTGCAGGACGCTCAATGGCTGCCAAAATTCGGTCTGGGAAAGATTAAACTTGTGTGTGTGTGGCTGCAGTTCTGATTAATCAAATATACTTTCCAATGGAGGTCCGGATTTGTCACGCTGCCACAGTCGGGGGCTCTCCCAGGCACTTCGAGCTGCCGTGGGCCAACAACACCACATCTCACTCTTTGCAAAGGAAAGAGAAGCCACTGCGAGTCCAGCACTTCTACAATCCGTGGTGGTCACAGAGGAGCTGCCTGCTGGAGGATTAGCCAAACAAATCCTTTTTCCCCCGTACAGATGTAACCCAGTGGTCTGTGTGCGTTCTGCACGCTAGTGTATAAATGAATAAATAAAAAGGCCAGCATTAAGTAACACAGGAACTCATGTTAGTGCGGTGTTGCATGTATCATCCAGATGGAAAATATCTGTCTAGACAAATCTGGGAATTATGCAAGCTCAGAATTCCTGAATAATCATTCCTTTCTGACAGAACGAAACCATTTGCGATACCCACCAAAAGTACACTGAACAACACAGGAAAAACAACAACTTTAAACTCTGAAAACTAGGAAATCTGAACGTTACCAATCCAGTGGATAAGAGATACTATACAAGTGAGCACAGAGCTCTGCAAGTAGTATCTGCACATGGGGCCTCTCGCTGCCCAGGTGAGCCAGGGATGATAATCGGTGCCCGTTCCTGGTCTCAGCAAAGGCAGAGAAGCTCTCCTGGTTTTCAGCATGATGCTCTGCTGGCTGTCACTGCACTGGGACACACGGCACCTTCTCCAGTGCTCTTTGTTCCCACTACACTCAGGCGAGCAGAGGGACTGAGAAGAAAGACAGAAAGGTGTGTTGTCCTGGTGCAAACCATCACAGAGTCAAAATAAGTCAGCCCTGGACTGGTAGGAAAAAAAAAAAAAACACGTGATGGAAAACATCAAACTCAGTGCCGGAAGCAGCCGCTGGCTTGGAGCAGCACCAAAGGATCACTTCGGATGGGATTTCAGCACAACTCTAGGGTTGCAGTGACCCTGTTTGGTCTTCTCGGGAAACAACGGCACAGCCGGAGGAGACAGGGAATGAAGCAGGCAGCAGTTCTCCCTGAGGGGAGCTGGGTGTATCCCATCAAAGGATGGGATCCTACAGATTCCCAGGTAGGTACCCAAAGGGAGAGAAAAGAAAAGAAAAAGTGAAGTGTCTTGATTCTGCAGCCACCCAATTTGCTATGGTTTCGTCACTTGATGCTAGGGGGAAGGAGCAAGCCCCTTCTGCAGAGCATCCAGACAAGTATGTAACTTTTGTTCTGTTCGGGGTTATCCTGGTTAAAAAGTGACTGGTGTTTATCTAGCCTGACCTCTTCAGGGCTGGAGAGGAGAAAGAGAACATGACACTGTCAACTCAATGTTCCCTTCTAGGGCCTAGGGAGAGAAAGGGAACATAACAACTGGAAGGATAAATGATGGAAGAACTGCTTATGCTGCTGTTTTAGGGAGGGGGCTGTGTAAATATTTGTGCAAAGACAGCTTTGCAGGGCTCGCAGGCTGCAGCAGAGCTCCCCCTGACACCGTGTGCGAGCCACCGTCGGACCAACAGCCTGAAAAAGCAGATGTGCCAATTTCCTGTGCTTGATGATGATGGCTCCTAATTACGCCAGAGCTGTGGCAATGTCCTCTCTTATGTATGACTCCTAATTTTGTTTCGTGAAGTCATCTGTGCAACGCTCTTCCGGCATGCAATCACCGTCGAGCCGCAGTCACGGAGAGCCCTGAGCTGAGCGCCAGCGACAGGCAGCGCCAAGCAGCCCGCGTGCAGAAAGCCTTCTCCCGCCACCCACATTTGGGAAATTCAGCCCTGTGTGAGCACTGTGTGCTGCCGGAGTCCTGTGAGTCTCCTCAAAAACATGGCCCAGTGCAGGTGAGCTGGTGCTGGACCCGTAGCAGGAGCACGCTGCACTTGCAAGCGATGCCCGGCAGGTCGATGGTGTAACACGGCGTGCCCAAACTTCTTGTGTAACTTGGGCTTTGAAAGGTTTGGAAGGGACTTTCTGATTTTATTTTATTTTTTCTCATGTGCAGTTTTAAGAAAGCATCTTGCATTTGTTTGGCATTACTTTTTCTTTTTTTCCTCATGATTTCTCCCCTTCCTGCCCCCTGCAGCCCCTTGTAGGATTTGCTCATTTGTCTTTTCATCCAGAGCCTGCTGTCCTCTCATGGAGGTCCCTTCTCTTGCTTGCTGCTGGAGACACCTGCAGCCCGTAACAGCTGCTGGCTGTTCCCTGGTTGCAGGCCTGTCATTTAAGGGCCCAAATGTGAGCACCTGGGTGTCATCATGGGGGTGTGCTACAGGTAGGGGGAGAGAGCCATGCTCCTGCAGCTCAGCTGGTGGTGGCAGTGGCTGTCCCTGTGGCAGGGGCAGAAGCTGCTGCTGGAGGGATTTGGGGTGCCCCAAAGAAGACCTCGTGGAATGAACGTGACCCTGTGGTGGTCAAGACAGAGGGGAGAAAGCTGCAGGAGGAGGAGGTTGGGCTGTGTAGCACCAGGAGGAGCAAACAGGGAGATATTGGACCTTTTGTGGAGGTTTTATGGAGCGCTGCTTGTAGGTAAGAGCTGGCATCCCGTGGAACAGGAGAGGAGGGGTGGCGGCTCCAGCCTGGGCTCCTTCCCTTAAAGAGCCATGGCATGAAGCTCTGGAGGTGGCTGGTTGTTGTGGGGACAGGACAGTGGCTGTGCCGTCTGCATCCTTGGATGTATTTGAGGTTTGAGTGGTCCAAGTCCAGAGTTTGGGTCTGAATTGGGCATTTACTGGGTTTGAGCAGGAGTCTTGACTAGAAGTAGTGTAAGGCCTTCCCCTACCTGAATTATTAGGAGAGTTTGGGGCATTTAAAAGCATGGCTGAAGCATGTAATTGTGAACCTGGACATGGTGCTGCCTGGACTGTTTTCAGGTTAATGAAGTTCTATCAGTGAAACCAGGAGTCTGTTAGCTCGTGTGAAGCTGCAGTCAAGCCTTGTGAAGGATGTGCCTGAGGAAAACCGAAGGTTACGAAAGAGGCTGGGGTTTCTACTGTGGTCAGTCTTTCCTTTGCATCCACCGTCAGCAGCCGGCTGGGAATGAAGCGGGCTTGTGAGAGCCTTTTTCAGCTGGGTCAGGGGCTTTTGCCGTGGGAGCGATGCTGGCTGCTCCTGTGGCAGCTGCTTGGCTGTCAGGAGGAGAAGTGAGTGTTGGTGATACCCTGCTGGTCTTCAGATGGGAGGGAGGTGGTTGGGACCTGTCCTAAGTGGACTTGATTGCATGGGAGCAGCTTTCCCTCTTTACTGCAAGACTCACGTAGCAAAGAATGTTTTCCATGAATCACCCTGAGACTGGGCGGCGCTTTGGTGCGTGCTGAGGCTGTGCAAACAAGATGGGCTCTAACTCGCTCGTAACTCATTTCCTGGGGTGGTGCTGAGTCACAGGGCACTCACCTGGGCTGTGCACCCAGGTGTAAGCAGAGATGCCTCGCAGCACCAGCATGCCATGGTGCGTGTGCCCTGCCCTTGCTGCTTGGGAGCATTGCCTTTTTTTTTCTCCTTGTTTTTCTGTTTGCTCATTTTGGCTTTCCTGCTCCTGACCTGGTGAGAACCCTTGGAGATGGCTGCAGCCCCAGTGATGTGTCGTGGTGGTGGGTATTGAGAGGTACTGGGAGGTGCTGGGTGTGCACAGACTTGAAGAAATGGGGGTCTCACACCTAGGTTGGGAGCAGGAGGGTGTTAGACTTGAACAGGGTTCACACGGGATGGGTGGTCTGTTCTGCTGTCTCGGTTGTCCCCTTGTTATGCTGACCACAGTGATTTTACCTGTGTCAGAAAGACCCTGCAGCTTTTGTACACCTGTTTTCATTATCAATATTGTTTTTTTTCTTAGTATGACACAACTTCATAAGGCTGAAGCTAATTGAACAGACCACAGCATTTGCCTAGGAGATATGCATCACGCATCCCCATGGGCTGAAGAGTGGAGGGTGGCTTCATTTTGCTGAGCTGGATGTGTCCTAGATGCTCGGCACCTGTGGTGAGTTGGTCTTCCTGGGTGATGAAGAAGACTGAGATGTGTTGTACCTGACAAAAAGTGGATATCTTGGGGTGGGTTGAAATGCTTCTGCAGACAGCAGAGCCTGGCTCATGCTTGGACTGGAGCAAAGCAGGTGCATGCGTTTAGTGGGATGCCTGCTGCCAGCACAGTAATTTTCGGCAGCCCAGCTGTGCCATGAGCAGCGTGGTGATGGAGAACTCCCACCTCTACCTTGTACAGCACACTTCATCCCAATGGATCCTGCATCACATGGCAGATGTGATGCAGAAGGCAGGCTATGAGGGCAGCACAGCTACTCAGAGTGATGTGGCAACTGCTCAGCAGCAGACACCAGCTGTACGTGTCCTTATCTGCAGGAAATAAAGAATATCTCTATGAAGTCATGGCTATAAACCCAACCTTCCTGACACTTCCTTTCAGGAACTGCAGGGACCTTGATGAACCGAGGGGAAAGACCAAGATGAGTCCTCCATGAGGAGTCATCACCTTAGTCTCTACCCTGTGAAAAATTGCATACATCGCATCCTGTCAAAAAAAAGTCCAATCGCTTCTTAAATGCAGACAGGCTTGGTGCAGTGACTACTTCACTGGGGAGCCTGTTCCAGTGTGTGACCACCCTCTCGGTGAAGAACCTCTTCCTGATGTCCAGCGTGAAGGTGGCAGCTGTGGGAGATGGGCCCTGAATATCTGTGGCTCACTTGGTTGTCTGCCCAGATTCACTTACCTGAAAGGAGTCAGTAGCTAAGGCAATGTCTGCAGCTACTCGTGCATTTTCTCTGGGGCATTTTTCCATGTTTGTTTTATCCACCTGCAGTGTAATTCTTGAGAATTTCCTGCGTGTAAAGCAGGCAGGCTGAAATCTCCTTGTGCATCTCTTCAAGTCCCCAGGTTTCCTTGAATAAGACATGCTAAGAAACAGTTTCTCACCTTTTGTGTTGTGGGAATTGAGAGCACTCAGCATCTTGTAGGAAGTGTTTCACATCTTGCAGAAGGAAACAGTTACTGAATGTAGTTCATCAATGCAGAATGCTGTGATGTGATTTAGAAGCTCATTAGAGATCATAATCATAGTGGCAGATGTTGGTTGAGACTAAGAACCAGCACAATGGAAAATAAGGAGCTGCTTGCCACAAGGTTGATGAAGTTTTGAGGACACTTCCAGAAATGCCTGAGTTCACATATGATGTAGTTCACATATGATGTGGAAGTTGTTCTCCAGGTTTCTAGGTGCATAAATCCCTTGAAAAATAGGATGTAAGTGCTCAAACACCTGAAGTCCTTGTCAAGATATGACTCCTTGCTTGTAAGGAGTAAAACTTCAATGAATGCGTGTCTAATAAAGCCAGCATTAAACTTGGATACAATGCTGTACTAAAGGAGTTTTAACCACATACTTAGTGTGGGTTGCATGCAGTGAGGATGGGGATTTGTGGGGTGGTGGGATAGCCCTGCTTTTGTGATGGCTGAGCCTGAGCTCCTTCCTTTCACACTTAACTTGGGTGTGGGTTGGGGCAGCTCCTCCACCTTCCCCCATAGGCAGCGGGTCACAGCTGTGTTTTGGGGGAGCATCCTGGGGTGTGCCATCCACTTGGAGGGAGGAGAGAACAAAATGGCAGTGAAGAGCCATGAGAACCTCTCCGAGGTAGTGTAAAGAAGGCAGTTGCACCACGGAGCTGTGCGTGGTGGTTGTGACAAAGGAAACTGCGTAAAGCCATCATCTTTCCTTCGGGAACCCGTCCCTCTCACTAGCTGAGCCATGTGAGTGTCTCAGTCCCTGAAGTGATGTGGTTTTGCGCAGGCTGACATCCGGTGTCACCACATCCTTGCACATCAGGAAGCGTGCCATCCTCCTCCTCGGTGTTTTTTTGGGGAGTGTCTCTGCGTGCTAGGGGCCTGGATGGCTTCCTGGGGAAGCCCAAGTGATGCTGGCACCAGGAGTGACTCGGATTTAAAGCCTAACTGTATGATTTTGGTAAGGGGAGTGTCTTAACAAAGCGTTTCTCGTTGGGATATGGAGTCACCTGATGAAAGCATGGCCAGATAACAAAAATCTCCTCGCAGAAAATGAGCTCTCGGTTGCTGCGGCGCTGTTCTTGCGAGGCTTTCCATCTGCCACACAAACAATATCTGACTGAGCCCAGCAACGCTCCGTGCCAGCAGCATCGCTCCTGACAGCTTCCAGCTGTCGAGCAGGCGCGGGCACCCAGGTGCCACGGCGAGCCAAGGAGCGTGCGATAGCAGCCCCGTGGGAGGAAGAAAGGGAGGCACCTGGTGTGAGCCCTGAGCATCCCCAGAGGGGAGCTTTGTAGAAAAGGGTACTGAAGAAGCAAGGAGGATGGGTCCATGTGGCCCCATACAGACACTGATCCACTGGGGTGAGTTCCTCCTAGTGACGTGCCAGGCTCTTTGCTGTGAAATGAGGCTAAAAGCATGCAGGGGATGGTCCATGTGGAGCAGGCTGGGGCTCAGCTCAGTGGCTTGCTGCAGCCCCTTGTGGCCCTAACACACCTTTTTGGGAGGTGGGAGCACCCGGGAGCCACCGTGGGGCCCTGAGCGCAGCCAGAGCCTCGAGCTGCTACTGTGGCACAGATGATCTCCATAAACTGTGATGACATTAATCTAATGTATGCGTTCTCCTACAAATGTGAATACCAACAAATACAAATTCTATGCAAATAAGGCGCTCACGCAGTATGTGCAAATGGCTGAACATCTGAGGACTCAAATATTACGGCAGAAGTTTCTCACAGGGATGCTGGATCCAAAACGTGCTGCTGCGGAGCCCGTCTGCGCTCCCACGGGAGCTTCCAGGTGAGGCGGAGGGGGACGGCACCACCAGGAGCCAGGATGTGGGTGCCCAAGCATCCCATGACTGACCCCAGCAGGGGATGAATGTGATCCTGAAGTGAGGCTGGGGCAATGCTGCCACTGGTGAGTGGCGTGGGAAGGTGAGGGCCTGAGTACAACCCCCCCCTGTTAGAGCTGTTTTTGGAGACCCAGTGCTGTGTAGATGTGTCCCACCTCTGAGGCAACATGATGGGGATGGGGGTTTATGAGAGGGAGCAAGTCCAAGGGGGGTTATTCCACGGATGGAGACGTTGGTCCCTTAAAAACAGTCCAGCTCTTGTGGTGCTGGCATGGAGATGGCAGAGGAGAGCTCTGAACCACCCTTGAGATGTCTGCGGGTCCGTCAGCCAGGGCTGCTCACCTGGCACACATGGTAGGTGACAGTTTTTACTTGTGTGGCCCCCTCAATAAAACAGGCAGAGCAAACCCATACTCCTGGATAAGAGTTAAAGCTGGCAGCTCCCAATGCACTGTGAAATCTTGTTGGATTCCTAGGAGCTTTTTGCTACTTTGCACTGGATTTTTCTCCTTTCCTAATCCAGGTATTGCTCAAGTTGTCACAAGAAGTTTTGGTTTACAGCCCGTGTACCCCCTGCTGGCTGGCACAGACCAGAGGACAAACAGGTCCCTGCTTCTGCTCGGGGCTGCGGGGAGAAGGCAAGCCCCAAATTCCATTTTGGGGATGGGGAGAGCAGGTCCTTGGGGCAGGGAATTTTCTGTGGCTGGGAGGGGAATGATGGGGCAGCACTGCCAGGGATGCTTCAACCCAAATCCTCCCTTCCCTGGCAGCTATTGTTTCCCAGAGCCTGTTCCCAAGCCCTTCTCTTGCCTCTGTTTCACGGGCTGTAAGGAGGGGACGCTGCACTAACACGCTTCTTTGTTCCCATGTTAGATTCTTGCATGGATATATGATGCCCCCCACCCCAAAAGCACATCCTATAAAACAGGAAAAAATCCCTTTTCAAAGTGCTCATTTAACGGATGGGAAGGATGGAGGAATCATACAGAGCAGAGAAATCTTTAAAAACGAGGACTGAAGCAAATATAGCTTAGTAGTATACTAGTTACAGAATGAACAGCATATTGTATGTGCTGTGTTAGAGGTATGTTATGAATAACAAAAGCACTGGAGCATTTACATATTTGTTTTCAGAAATCCTGGCAGTTGGATTTCACCATTCTGCGCCTCTTTGCCAGAATCACTAAACAGTGGTACATATGGCTTCTGAAGTACCATATGCCGTAGAAAACGCGAGCTGATGCCTATACTGATGCGACACACTATAGTCTTTATTTAGATTTTTTTGCAGTTTTGAACAAAGAATATTAGATCATGCAAAACATTGTGCAAGCAGCATGTAGTAGTACATACAGTAAAACATAATACATTGCGACCGAAGAAAAGCAAACTTTAAAAAAAAAAAAAAAAGGAAAGAAATGATAGTATTGGGAATTAGGATGTGCACGTGCCAAGAAATGTATCAGGCAGCGCGACACGGCTTTGTACGGCTGCAGCAGGAGATTTGCTCGTGCTTAAAGCAAAGAGTTCAGAGACAGAGCCCTGCAGACGAAGTGGTTTTGGATGGAGGGGCAGCTTGAAGAGATGCTCTCTGTTCCAAAAAGTACCGAGACTGGTGCTTAATTTTGTGCTTGAAGTCCTCCAGGAGCAGACGCCGCACATGCAGGAGCAGCGGGAGCGCTCTCCTCTACCACCTCACTGCCTGAAAATAGCAACGGGGAGCGTGGCTTTGATGGGTGATGAGAGGAACACCTTGGAAATGAAGGGGAACACGGCTGCAAGCACAACAGGCCAAAAAATGCAGCCTTGCACTGAGATAAAGAATTGGGGTTTTGTTGTGAGAAGGGGCTGTAAAAGATGGTTTTTCCCTCCCAATCCTGTAGCTCCAGGGCCTGGGCGCTGTGTGTTAGGATGCACAGTGAGCACCTCAGGCCTGTGAGGGAGGAGATGTGAGGGCACAAAAAATTGTGGCTGAAAAGCTCCTACTTCCCTGCTGGTTTAACACAGTGGGAAGGGGGAGAAAAGGGACTGAGAGAAGAAAAATGTGTCGGGGGTGATGGGTGCTCTCATCGAGCTCAGACAGGAAGGTGCTGCACGGTCCCACTGGGAAGGGAGCACTGTCCCCAATTCAAACATCGTTAAGTGGCTGCGATTTTATGGAATTAATGAGGGGGGGAAGAGGGATGAGGGAGTCCCCTTGCTGCACCCTCAGCCAGCCACCACGCTGGCAGCAGCAGTGCCCGCCAGGTCGAGCACAGGGAAAAGGAGGCGAGGAAGAGTCTGGGGAGAAAGGCGAGCCCCAACAGGGCTGCCTAGGGAATGGGGGCTGCAGCTGCCTCCCAGCTGTGGGCTTTGCCTCCCGATAAAAACCCTAAAAGCATGCAAAATAATACCACCAATAATAATAATGAGCATCCTTGTGGGCACCTCTCAGCCCTCCCGCCTGCCCCCGGCCGGCTTCCCAGCCCACGCGTGGTGCTGCCAAGGATTTTCCTCCTCGCCCCATCCCACGGGGGGCTTTTCCCACCCCCTCGGGTTCAGCCTGCAGCCGTTTGCTGCCCGGGACGGCGGCGGGGCCGCCGGCAGCATCCTCGCCTTCGTCTTTCCTCTCCTGCCCTCCATCGGAAGGAAGGGAGCCTTCACCCTGCGCGGGGATGCTGCGGCCGGGGGGGCCCGAGCGCGGCCCGATCCCCGCACCCCCAAGCAGCCTGCCCTCCTGCCGCCCGGGAGGAGGAGGAGGAGGATGAGGAGGAAGGCAGGGTGTTCTGCCGCCCCTTCGCGGCTTTTCCCCGGCCTCCTCCGTCCCCCGATCGGCGCGCGATTAAAGGTTTCTGTAAATCTGTTCGCATCCCCTTCACGTGGGGCCCGCCGCTGCCGGCTGTATTGCCCTTTAGATGCCTCTTCCTTTTTTTGTTTTACAATTGTTGTATCAATATAATGCTTCCTTTCTTCCTCTGTCTCTATAGATACAGATATACAAGGCAAACTAAAGGTTTCGGCCGCTATTCAGCGCCTCCTCATTTGTCCCGGAGCCCTAACAGTGGTGCCCTTTCTCTTCTGGCTGCTTTTCCCTGCTTCTGGAGCAGCAGTTATGGGAGAAGCAGATGGCTACTGATTGGGTGAGCTTTGTGGCTTTAATACTGAATACTTTATGGAAAAGGACTTTATCATGCTTGGTTGGTCAGAGGAACAACGGGATGAGATTTATGACGAGAGAAAATAAATCTTTCTAAGTTGCAGGCTCCTTCACACACCCTGTGTCGAGCCGCCGTGGCAGGGATGGAGCCGAAATCCTCCACATCCTTCTTTCCGTCCGCCCTGCCCTCTGTCTGTCCTGCTTTCTGGTGCTCTCCCTGCTCCTCCCTGCACCCACCAAACTTTGGGGGGCTCTCACTCAGGCCTGGCCAGGGGGCAGCCACCCCCTTATGGGGCTCAGCACCATGAATGTCACGCAATCCCCTTGAACAGCCATAGAGGCACCCTAACGCCCAGACCCCACATCCCCTGGAGATGGGGAGCTGGTCTCAATCCCCCCA